AACAGGAAATAAAAAGATTCTGAGGTGGGAACGTGCTGTTTAGACTTGTTGTTTCAGATTGTAGGAGTTGTGAGTCTTGTGCTTGTAAAGAAAGTCCTTGGTGGAGGGCAGATGAGGGGACCCTGCCCGGGGCGGGGGTGGGTGGGTTCCTGGTGAGCACCTTCAGGGAAAGAGACAAGGATGCAGATAGCACCCGGCCAGGTCGTGAAGAGCTGCCATCAGGGGCTGGGTTCAATTTTCTTTTCATTAGTTCATTGAGCCATATGATCATTTAATTAACAAATATTTAGTAAATGCCTAAATGTACCAGGCATGGTTGGTGCTGGGCCTGGGGACGTGACATGAAGATAAACATCCCCATCAATGCTACTGGTCCTACGACTGACGTGTGTATTGGGAAGGGGACAGGCAGACAGAGGGGTGTGGTCCATGGAGCTGGGGGCAGGAGAGGGGAAGGAGATCAGGAGGTGAAAAGGTTGTAAGAAATTTGCAAGACTAAGACCTAAGTCACTTTTAATTTTAAAATAATTTCAGATTAATAGAAAAGTTACAAAAACAGCACAAAGTATTCTTGTGTAAAGTGTTTTAATAATGGTGTATTTTAAAGTCAAATTCTTCATGGAAATGTCTAACCATTTCTGAAACTGGAGACAGACTTAAGAACGTTCATCAGATACAATTTTGCACTATTTCTCTCTATTCTGAGTGGAAAGGTTAGAAGGAGCTCAGAGGGTCTCTGCGCTTTGCTGTGCTAGGAGTAAGTCTGAGGAGCCATGGAGAAGATAGAATGTAACACTCGATCACCCTCTCTTTAAAAATATTTCCTGTAAGGTCGGTAATAAAATAAAAAATTCCTCTTTCACTAGCCCGGCCTCTAGCTCAGTAGGAACTCCCGTTAGTGGGTAATTCAGTTGGTCCTCGCCATTGCCTCATACCCTGGGCTGTTCTGTTCTTTTCTTTGCATCCAAGAATAAGACCTTGGCAGAGAACAAACAGTGGAGCTGACCTCCTGCCGTGGTTACTGAGTAACTAACTCAAAGCTTAACTCTTCCACAGAAATTTGGCAAAACATCTAGTACAAAAAAATAGTCACCTCCAACTCTCCTGGGTTTCTAGTTTACCCAGTGGTTATGTCATTTTAATTAAGGTGAAAAAAGTTTATCAAAATAAATCCTGCCTTATCACTTGACAGCTTTCAGGTAGATTCTCGAAGCATCTTACTGAAATTTATCCAAATTCTCACAACTGTCAGTTCAGTTTTGATTTCAGGGAAACCAAATCAAAACAACAAATATTTATGGAGCATGTCCAGTGCACATGCCACTGGGTGTTGAATGTACCAGGTACTCAATAAATATTTGTGTTTAAAGAAACCCAGGTTCAGAGTAGTTTTGCTGACTTATTAACAAGAAAATACTTTAAATTCCTCCCAAATGGAAAGTTAAGATTATCAAGTAAAAATGCTCACTCATCCAGAGGAATTGACACCTTGTATGAACAAAATTATCAGACAAGGGCATTCTTGGGAGGCTGAACCAGAGAGAGTTGCGTGGAGTCAAAGCTCACTGCTTCTACATTAGTTCAGGATGTTGTAGGTGGAAAGAGAAACTGGGAAGACAGCAGAGGCAGAGAGAGTGGAAGAAAGTTTCCTGGAGAGATAGGGGTTGAGTTGGACAGAAAAAGAAGCAACAAGAAGAAACTCATAGTAAAGCTAAGGCCAAGGGTGTCTGTTTCGACAAGCACAGGTCAATCACGTGACTGGTGTCTCCCACCCACCTCTGCTGCTCTCACAAGTGTGACCAAGTCCATTTGATGGTTGAGGTGGAAATGAAGGTCTTGGAATGAGTGCAGCTTGGCAGCTTTTATCCCATCAGGACATAGTTGGTTTCAGGCCCTTCCCTGATGGCCAGTGCTGAAAACCAACAGATGTCGCTTGGGTTTCTCTGAAGAGAAAGAAGGGTCAGGAATCACATCTTTGGCGGTTCAGCCAACCAGGGACACAGAACCTGTGATCTGCTCACGGGGAAACGAGCTAGCCCACTCTGGAGAGGCAGCCTGACACACACTCTGCGTCCAGGCGTTCATCAGGTTGCCTACCTTGTTGTCAGGATAACAAAATGCCCCGTGAGATGAAGACAAGGACAAACATAGGGAATGAGGGAAATCAGAGGGCACCTTTTAGATCATAATAACCTGAACATTTTTGGACTTGGAAGGTGATGATAAACTGAAGTGACCGTAGGTTCTCCCGAAAACTGAGTATTTTAAGGGCTTTGATACTGCAGAGGGAATTTCCCCCTTTTACCTCGTAATGTAGGAGCAGACCTTGGTGAGGGGAATGATGGGACACAGCTGACTTCGGCAGCATGTTTGATGGCACCCGTTTGGGTGTTTAGAAATGTCAGTCATGCCTGTGCTGTTCTCAAGTTGCGGCTCAGTTAAACACTGTCTTAGAAGCACCTCCCCTCCTCTTCATTTCCACCGGCCTGGTGCAGGCCCTCACCACTTGTTGTAAGTCTACTGCAAACTGAGCACTGTTCCACTTCAAATCACAATCATCACATCATTCTCAGGGTTAAAATCTTTACTGGTTTTTAATTGCTAAGGGATAAAATCGCAACACCTCAGAATGGTACATAAAGCTTTCCAAGCCCTGGCCTCAGCCTAACTTTTCTAGTCATCCCCAATTCCTCCAAGTTCCGTGCCAGGTGACATTCTTTTGTGATTTTGTGTATGTGCTCCCAGGCTTGGAGTCTCCGCTCCCCACCTGGTTCGTCATATCAATCCTTCTGTACCTTTCAGGATCAACTATTTGGGTGTAAACCCTTTCCTGAGTCATCTTTTTTCTCCGGCCTCGCACGTGTTCCTTTAAGCAGTCTAGGCAGTGCTAATTATGTCTTACATCTCATTCATTCGACTAACATTTAAGTCTGATGGGCAGAGACTGGACCTTTCTGCTTCTAAAACTGCCCATCATGTAGAAAGATCCCTACCACTCACAAGTGTGGTCTTTGGGCGAACAGTCCCGGCGTCACCTGGGAGCATGTTAGTCATCTCAGCCCCACTCTGACGTGCTGAAACAGTGCCTGCACTGTATCAAGAGCCCCCGCTGAGCTGTGTGCACACTAGGTTTGAGAAGCACTGACGTAGAAGCTATCCAATAAATGTGCACAGACACACAAATGTGATCCCTTCATTGCCCTGCTCACAAGCCTTCTTTGGATTCCTTTGACTTTCAGAATAAAATCTAAACACCTTAGTGTGGTCCGCAGGCCTCTGGGCTCTGTCTCTGGCTCTGCCTCATCTAAAACCACTCTCTCACTCCCTCTGCTTTGGTCCCAGTGACTTTCCAATTTCCGTAACACAGTCCTTCTTTTGCAGAGTTCACACATCTTGTTTTCTCTGACTAGGAGTCTCTTGTCCTACCTCCCCACCCCCAAACCCTTTCTTCAAGTCTTACCTTCAATGCTGCTTTCTCAGGAAAGTCTTTGCTGCCCAGCCAGGCAAGGTTAAGTCTTCTTTGTGTAAGTCTCACAGCTCTGTGCTCTTCTCTTCTGAGGATAATTGTGGTTGATAGCAATCCTTTGGTAATTCTGTCTGGTGTTTTGTGTATGATTGGTACGCATCCTTAAACTGTACACATGTCAAGTTCTGTAACTGGAGTCTAAGCTCCATGAGGGTAGAGAGTATTTCCTCTTTGTCCTTCAGGGTTGTGTCACATGGGGAGTACTCAGTAAACTGCTTTAGTAAATACTGGAGTTTAAGTGTTCAGTGAGTAGTTGACGATTCACTTTTGATGTGCTAAGTGTTCCAGGTAAGGGTGGCAGCCATTAACTAAATAAGCCACCATGTTGGGAAGCAGACGGATTTACTAACTGATCACTGCCGATTAGCTGGTTACTGGGATTGAAGTGCTAAGGCTCACAAAAAACACACTCACATTAATCAATGAGTCTCAGTGTCAGAGGTCAGAAGGCACCCTATTGCTTTTAACCAGGGTAGCCCTAGGTAAGTGGTAAAGACAGCAGGTCTGCTTTGGGAACTCCCACTCTAGATTTTATGACATTGAAGAATGGTTGCAGTAGTTACCATGCTTCATACCTTCTGAACTTTGTTTTTACTGTGGCCCTTTCCCTTGAGGTCAGATATGGTACCACTAGACACCTAACTGCTAACTGACGGTAGTAGCAATGCTTATTCATTGGCAATGTGTATTATTTTCCTTTAAAAAATATTTAGTTATTTTAAAGGAAACTCCAGCCATTGTCATTTATGCATCTTTAAAAAATATGGACATTTTCTTATGTAACAATGTTGCTATTATGACACTGAATAAAAATGTCATTCCTTGGCTTTAATACTCAAAACATAATCAAATTCTCATAATTATATAAAAAATGCCTTTGTGTGTTTGGTTTTTTGGAATTAGGATCCAAAGTCTGTATGTTGCATTTGCTTTTTTTTAATCTCTAAAGTTCCTCTAAATCTAGACCAGACCTCTCCCCTCTCCCTTTTTCTTCTTCATGCTAAGGTGTATTTTTCGGAGTTCTCTAAGAGAAAAACCTTGTAATTGCAAGGAATGACTAATGGCTGGGGATTTATTTCAAGATAATTAGGAAAAATGAGTAAGGATGGAAAGACAAAAAATGTTTGTGTCAGGGAGGTACCCAGAGCAAGGCCGTGTTGCTTACTAAGCATAAAAAGGTCCTGATTTTAAGAAAATCCATAAAAACCAGAACTTTGGATGCTGTCTTCACTCCTAACGTTCAATCACTATATAAGAAATGAAGGACTCTGAACCGTAGTGTGTGTAAGGTCAGGCTAATTTCTGCTCTATCTATAAAACTGGCTACTCTGAGTAATGTGTTTGCTTATGCACGTTACCTACTTCTCTATTTTTCACCTAAAAAGTAAACAGACACAATTCCATAAAAAAAAAAGGCGTAAAAAAACAATCCCAAGGATAGAATAAGACAGACTCATTTACAAAAGACTGCGAGTTTCTCCTCATTAATTTATCATTTAATATAAATGCTGACAGAAAGCAGATAAAGACCTTGTAGACACTTCCATATATTTACAAACCAAAAGGTGAATCACCTCCTTCTACTTGTTAAAATAGTCCTTTTATCTGCAACTCATGGGAGCCTTAAACACTAACTAGGAGCAACATGAGGCTGAGTCAGTTTCCAAGATAATCAAGAAAGGAATAGCATTTTAACAAAGTGTGGCATCTTTGATATAAACAACATGCACACAGATAATACAAAATTGAAAAAGATGGCCCTCCTCCTCTCAAAACCCTGCAACAAGTAGAATGTGTACTTATTCAGACCCAGAGTTTTACTACCCTAAACATCTTCCTACTATTATTTTTTTCCACCTCACTTTCCAAAAAGCTGTTTAAAAACTGGAAATATAAACAGATTTTAAAAAGAGAGGAAAATGGTCTGTATCAAACAGGATTTTTTTTTTTCCTATTCCCAAAGAACTCTCAAAACATAGTCTTCAAATAAGATCTCACAGTTTGCCTGGTGCAAAGGAATTATTCACAGCTTGTGAAATTCCAACCCATTATCTGTCTTCACTTTTTAAAGAAAAGTTGGAAACACTTGGAAAAAGTAAAATTTCACAAACTTCAGCAATTTAAAAAGCAGTTGTCCCATTAAGGTTCAATACTTTAATTTCTGAATAGGTGGGGAGAGGCAGGCGATAAAGAAGAGGGAGCTAAGGCAAGGAAAAAAGTAGGAATACAAGAAAACTGTTAAAAATGGTATTTTGTCTAGCACTAATTTATAAGAACAGAAGATATAAATTCTCACTATTAAAACTGTAAGTGATTTCATGAAATTACTTATAACCTCTGACTCAAATCTCATGGGCTCCTTTATTAACCTAGATTATTTTTGTCTTGTTAAATATACCTCTGCAGGGCACAATCACATACAATCAATACGATTGGTAAATTACACAAGCTCTATTCCAAGCAAATATGCATCAATGTTAAAAAGTTACTAAAAAAAAAAAAAACCCCACAAAATAAAACAAAATAAAATCCACCCAAAAAGGTGATAATGACTGCAGAATGTCTCCAGGAGACTGGTTTGAGCCTAAAGACCAAATTGACCATGGTCAGGGGAAAAGGGTAAGAGGAGTAACGTGGGGAAGAGACCACACACAAGAAGAGGAATCTCACAACTGGAAAATGTTTAAGTGGGTGAAAGGTTTTGTTCATTATCTGAATTCACTCTATCCATTTCTCTTGTTCCCGCAAGTTATAGACTGATCATAAAGTTAAGATAATGAGGCCAATGGATCAATGAATACAATTAAAAAAAAAAGCCCTTTTTCTTTTCATTCCCAGAAAGTGGAAAGAAGAGAAAGGATGAAATGGGGGGGGGGGGACGGGACCGTAAAGAAGATCTAGGCAATATACCTGGATAAAGCAGCTCTCAGAACAATGTTTTAGTTGAACAGAGGATGTAAAAATGATAAGCAAAAGCTGAAAATGCCTTGAAATCAGTGGGACAGTTTACAGGATGGTTCAGACATATTATTGCGAGAATGGCAGCCAATCAGTGGAGAGAGATTATGCTAATAAATGGTGATTTTTAAAAATCAGTCCAGAAAAAAAAAAAGGGCTACCAATTATCCTCCCAATGGTTTGTTTTCATTCTTCTCTTGACCCTTTCGTACACCAGCTGGGGTTGGGGTAGGGGACCACCTGACAGTTTCCAGTTATAAGACGACTCTGAGTGTACAACCTAGAATGGATGCCAAAGACTTGTGAGCTCTGTCTAGAGATTAAATTAAAAACAAAAACAAACAAACAAAAAACAAAAAATCACACACACAAAAAAAACCCCAACTAGAAACGTGAGACCTGAATATAAGAAAGTAAGTCACCTTATCTGGTATATAACATACATTAGGCTAACAAGCTCCACAGGATTTTACTTTTCCAACTACACATTTTGGACACAATATTGTCTTGAAGTGTATTTTAAGTTCTCTCTCTTTTTCACAATAACATGCTTTATTTGTGTGTGTGTGAAAATAAAGGTTATTACTCTAGGGATGTTCTGCTTGGGAATAAAGTTTAGGGAAAATTCAGTGTTTCGCTGAAAATTCAGAGGCCCTGAAAATAAGGATTCCAGTGGTGAGGTAAAGCTCCTTTGCCACAATAGGATTTCAAAGGGCTCTTTACCTGCTCGTTCAGTGCAGTGTTGAAGGTCCACCCCCTGGGAATACATTTATTACTTAGCGGTGTTACTTCGTCTTGGTGGTGGTAGTTTCCTATTGTTCATTTTTCATTAACGTCATAGCTAGTATTACTTACGAATTAGAATATAATATGTTACAACATCTCTAACAGTCAAAGAAATGGAATCTTAAGAACCAAATCTTTAGTTGGCATTTACTACAATTAACACTACCTTTTTCAAGTGGCTCAGAATAGTTGAAATAAGAATTTTTTAAAAATACTAACTGCAATCCATTTAGAACTCCCAATAAGTAATTTCAGCAGGAAAATTTTGTAAAGTTGAGCTGAAGAAACAAATAAATATAAAAATCAGAGTGTCCCAAGGTAGAGAGTCATGAACGTGGACCAGCAAAATGGGCAGTCAGGTAGCTGGTAACAGCAGCAGACTGCTTGCTGTCTAACCCCTAAAGTCGAAAGTGAAATCTGCTTTCGTTTAATAGCTCTAATTTTTATCTAAAAGGATAGGTAGATTTTTTTCAGGGAGATCACCTTGCAAACATTGTAACTGTATATCACCAATAAAAAATAAACACAATTGGACTCTTTTAAGGTAAAAATCTAAGTAAACACTGAAGTTAAGTTTCCAGGCAGGTTATTAATTTCCCCTAAAAAGTCACTGGGCCTTTCCTTTTAATGAGAAATATAAATCATTACAGATGCTTTTTACAGACAGATTTTCTATATTCTTTAAAATGAGCAAAAGGAAAGTCAAAAAAGATGCATCCGTCACCATTTGTTTATAGGCAATAGCAACTGAGTACTCATTAGTGAAAAGAAGTCAATTTTTCTCTGAATCTGAATATAATCCAACATATACTGACTTCATTATTTCTCACCAATCACATGCTGATGAATTCTTTTACTCAGTCCCATGACTTGACCATAGTGACAGTAGATTTTCCCATAGGCAGAAGTTAAATAACAAAAACAAAGGATGCTATCATGACAAGATAATCTCAGTAAAAGGTAGGAGGGACTGCTTATACACAATATCGTAAAAGATGACATTCACTGGTTTAGAGAAACTGATGAATTTTCATTACTCTTACATTTTGTAAGGCCAGTTAACTTCAACAGTTAACTTTAGATAAATCTACTTGCACACAGTACAATCAACTCACAGATACTAAAAGGTTTCACAATCAAAATGGCTACTATTTCCTCTCAAACCAAAACAGAGTAAAGCACAAGTCTTTGGCTCTCCTTTAAAGAAAACAGCAGGTTACCGTTCCTAACCAGACCTTGGTTTGCCTACCAGTAGGGCAAATACCACATTTGTGCATCACTGAGTAATAACACCATTAGAAAAGGCAACTTCACAGAAGTTATTGGCTAAGCGAATTCATTTGAATGCTCTGTTTTGAGGCAGCAAACTGTCACTGTTGCAGATTGGGGAGGACAGTGGGTAAATCAAGGGCAACTTGCAAGATAGAAAAGGGCCAGAAAAAATAAAAAGAACTTTCAGCTCCAACCCTGAAGATCTATGGAAAGTTTGATGGAGAAACATACTCAAGGTAGCAAATTAAGAGTCATACCAATTTTGTCTTTTAGGCAAAAATAAATAAATACTTGGGAAAGACTAGAAGGGAAGGGAAATAAAATGGGAGAAGGTAATCATCACATTAATGCTGTACCAAATAAATTTTTATACATTCTGAGTAGTTGAATATTTTGTAGCTGGCATTTGAGATAGTGTCTTATTTGAGTATTACTAGAAACTTGTAACTGATTTTCCTTTTGATTAGAAAAGTAACAAGGAATTGATCTTTGGTCACTTTAGCCTCTGTAAATTATCCATAGCCTCTGCAAATTATCAACTGAACTTATGACAATATTTATAAGTAAGGCAAAAGAACTACATTTAAGTCAGAAAACTGAATCTAGACATTTTATTCTCAGTTCTACACTTTTCCAGAGAACGATGAGGAAAGAAAAAGTCAAAAGTATTTTAAAATTCCTAGGTGCAATAAAATTCTGGTTTTGCTACTCAAACAAGAGTGAACACAATTCTTATTTCTCCTACCTTAAACCCTCTCAACTGTTCATGTTCATCTGAGATGTTGAGTCTTGCTTTTGAATTCAGTGAAAAGCAGTCATCTTCAGAAGAAATTAATATTTGAATAAGTAAAAATAAAAAAAACCAAAACATAAAAAATATTTCCTATCTGATTGATTTCATCTTTAACTGTCTCTAAAGGAATAAATTTTAAAAGCCAGAAAAATCAATGTCTTTCACAGATTTTTCACAAAAAAGCAGTTAAGGAGGGAAGCAGTTTTGCCCAAACAGGCCATTTACACTTACAAGCTTATGATATCACAAGGTATATCACACAGAAAAGGAAGAAAACAAAGAAAAAACCTGCCTAATTTGGAGGTTTTACCGAATTCCTAAAACTGCTTGTGAGTACTAGGAAGTTGTAAGAATTTTCATGAGGTAAGTCGGGGTAACCAATTTAAAATAGGTAAGTTAAAGGCACAATGGGAGAATATACCTTTCTTCTGCCTTTCAACCCAACCAGATTTCCTCCAGAGTGTGGGGCCCTACTTAGAGAGGTACAGCTAGAATTAAGGCTGCAATTTAAGAGATCCCACCCCCACACACACCATCCCCACTCTATGAAAATACCTAACACAACAGGGACTATTTTAAATCAGTTCAGAACAGTGGCTTCTCTGGTTGTATTCAGAACAGTAACACTATGTAAGTTAATCCCTGTTCCTGCCTAGCTTACAAAATCAAAACGGTGAAAGCAAGAATCAGTGTATCTGAAGGAAATAAGTAAGAATAACAGAAGTTGAGTTATTAGGGGTTTCAACAGATACCCCAAATGGAATTTTACTTTTATTCCAAGCTTCAACAAAATCAATACCCATAAATTCCTTTTCAACAACAGAATCATTTTGAGTTCCAAATTGAACCAACTGCTTCTAAAATTTAAGAATTAGCTAACATGTCCAAAGGAGAAATAATCTGCCCAAATCTGCCTACAGAAGGTTAGAGGCCAAGAGTATTATTGCCTTTTATAGTTACAGAGAGAAATGAAAAATCTTGGGACTCTGCCAGACATTAAATTTCTCTCCTTCTCCCAAAAAACCCAAGAAGCATTTAAAGAGTAAATGTAAGAGGGTTTTAAAGAAAAAAAAAAAAAAAAAAAAAAAGGCAAAAAAATGTATTTAAAAAAAAACAAAAAAGAAAATATGGATATAACTGACAAAATGCCTCATCTTCATTCAGTGCTTCTACCTCCCAATCAGTCATTTTATCGCAACAGCTGCGCTCATGCGAAAAAATCCATAAAACATACCCAATATATATACAGATATAGCTATGTATATATGTATATATATAATATATATAAATTTTTATTTAAATAAAAAAGAAAGCTCGAATCCCAAGCCAATATGTGTATATCAAATCCTTGACCAGCCAGGTCTGTAGGGCATAATCAAATTCAATGTGAAATAGTATATAAACACGGTGCCTTGACTGGGCAAATTAAATAATTGCTACTCAAAAGAGTGTTCTGTTTGGACTCTCCTACTGGTAGGCAACGGCAGGACTGTGTTACCCTCCCCCCACCCCCCCCCATTTGTTTCATTTAACAGTATGATGGATACAGAGCTTAGACTGAGGTTGTTATGACCTCAGCAGGAGTCAAGGGTTAAGAAAACAAGAAACAAGAAAAATACAAACTCTTGCTTTTACCCAACCAAAGCAATGCAGTAACTTATTACATAACCAGTGCTTTCTGTTTTAGTAGTATAATCCAGAAAGGGGAATTTTTTTAAAAACCAGGCAAACAGGGATAGGAAGGCGACTGTATCAAAGAATCCCCATTAAATATGTTTTATAGGGTCTTAGTTCAGTATAGACATGTGGCATCAGAATATGTGCAGCAGAATTAAATAATAAAAATCCCTCCTTATTCTTTTCAACATCTTCATGAAGAATCTTTTCAATACTGTAAAACCAAGTCTACAGAAAGTGACTTCTAGGTACTTACTACCTACTTGCGCTAATGATTCTGAACAGCAACAAGTCATCAGTTCATAACCTATCCACAAGATCCAAGCAGTTCTTATTTGCCAAATCTCTTTGAAAGCCAAGGGCTCCAGTATATAGGGATTTTATACTTTTGGTTTCTGAGAGTAAAACAAAAACATTCATTGAAAAAATCTGGCTCTGCTCATCTTAAGTTCAAATCAAGTGTTGCAGTTTTAAAACATGGTTGATTGTCCTGGTTTTTATAACATTCTATGATTTCAGCAAAAGTTCAGCTTGGAGAAAGAAGCACAGCTCTAGATTTCCAACCATCAGCTCAACATAGGTAATAAACCAAGCATGTATTTTCAGTGTTAATACATCACAGTTCATCCTTAAAACAGTCTCCATTTAAATCTAATCAAGCAACCTAAAAATTGGCTCATCTTTCTGATTACATCAAGAGAATGAAAAGAGTCCATAATATGGAAAGGAGGACTTCAAAAATTAATTGGCAATTACCTTTCTGAAAAGCTGAAATAAAAACAAAACCAAGGAATAAAGCCTTCCTGAACAACAAAAAGTTTTAACGCCACATGGAAAACCTACCTACACATGAAGCTAGTGACCCAGAAAGAGAAAGCAAATTATGGTTTCCAAATAACAGCATGGTTTGCTGCACATTTTCTAATAACTAGTCTATAACTGTCTGTTTCTCAAGCACCGCATAATTCTTAGAAAGGCCGGTGCTTTTTGTCTATGCAAATTTATGGGGTTATGAGAGCTGGAAAAGACTGAGGGTAAGGAATTATACACTGGGTATGTAATAATACCAAAATACGAGAAAAACCTACTTCATTAAGATCATACAATTAATCAAACAGAGTGTATATATAATATCTTCTTTTTTTTTTAAAGCCCTGGATCCAAGGCGTCCAAAGTTATTAAAATAAAGTTCATTCACAGAACAAAAACAAATTTAATCTGAATTGCTTGCAGATACTGCTAATTTTCTTTTTCTTTTTCTTTTTTTTAAATTAAAAAATGCATTAATGTGAACTATGTGCAGGGTTTGTTTTTAGTAGTGGTGTTTGTGCACATTGCCTCCGGTACTTCTGGATTTCTCTGACCATTCTCAGAGAAAAAGCTTAGAAGTTGTCCATTCTCCTACTCCTATGCCCCGCAGATTGGTTAGGAGCAGAAGATAAAAGTAGGACTCCTCATTTTAGGGAGCAGAACTGGGTGTAACTCCTGATCTCTGGGAGTCATTATTGTCCCCTCCTCCCTCAGGGTCCTCTGATAGGTTCAGAGAGCTGGTCTTGTTTGATAGGAGGCTGATATTCTCTTGTGTCAAGGCTGATCCATTCGGCACATCACTGTTAACATTAAAAAAAAAAAGGAATTGAAATTTTTTGAAGGAGAGAGATAAAAATGATTATTTACTAGAATAAAACCAACAGGGACTTTCTTTTAGCAGTATGGAAAATACACGAACGGCTTTCAAACTTTAATTTACAGCTCTATATCCATGCTTTAGCATAGGGGCTAGTGAACTAAGGCCAGCTAGCTGCCTGTTTTTGTAAATAAAGTTTTACCAGAACTTTACTAGAGCCTGCCCATATGTTCACATATTGTCTATGGCTGCCTTCTCATTACAATGGCAGAATGGAGAGTTTCAACAGAGACGATAAGGCTCGTAATTTTAAATATTTACTATCTGGCTTTTGAGAAAAAGTGCTGACCCTCATGTTTTAGCAGTTTTACTAGTGTAAGAAATTATTTTGAACTCATGATTATGCATGGATTTAAACAGCCAAAACCTAAGCCTGAAAGCAACAGGACATTAGAAATTGTTACATATCATCAGGAGGGCAACTCAGGACATGCATCAAAAGCCTCAACACACTCCAAGCTGCAAAACACCCTAAGGTGCAAGATGTGCAAACAAAGAATTAGCTACAATACTGCTTACTGCAGGGTTGTTCACGATAGCTGATATGTATCCTTCCACACCCACAGAAGAATATGGATGACACGGGAAAGACCAAATTAAAAACCAGGGGGAAAGGGTGCTGGGTAAGTGGGTGAAAGAGGTTAAATGCCTATATACTTTAAAAAGACCTGAAGGGTATACATCAATATGTTAACACTGGTTTTAAGTCAATTAAAAAACAAGGGGAAGAAGGAAATGGAAGCAGGAAATTTCATTTGTTAGGCATTTGCTTAGGTATTAACAGATAATTCAATCTTGTTTCTGGTCTAAAATAAGTTTCATTAACTCCTAAATTTATGCAAAAATATTCTTTCCTCAGTGTATATAGAATAATGATATTTTAAAAATTAAATTGTATTTATGAAAGTACTTCTGTAATGACTGGATAAAACTATGAAAAGGTCCTGTTCTTTACCTGAATGTCAATGTAAGGTCCTCAGCTGGAACCTTATTTTGTGGTTCTGGTTGTCCATTTTCTGCTTGCTTACTTGTATTCAATTTGCTTTTCGTGTCCAGAGAACACTGGTTCTCCTTTGAAAGACAAGGAAATAAATTCAATTATCTTCTATTTAATGATGCTAATGGAAAAGAGACCAGATATATATAATACAAAATGATGAACCAGAAATCATTTTTAACTTTGCAAAATGACCAAAGAAACAGGCAGACTAAAAGACACACACACACAAAAACATAATGGAGTACTGATAACAAGGGGGAAAATGCCTAGAGTTAACATGGGAAAAGAAGATCTCATAGAAAAGCTGATGATCAGAAAAAGCAAGTCAAAACATAATAAGTGTCTATAATATACTTACTGACAACAGAACAACAAAAATACCCCATTTATTAGCTTAAAAAGAATTTGAAAATTATGCAACAAAAAAAATCAATTACCATGCAACCTGAGGGAATGGTTTAATCCCCTAGGATTCAAATTACTGACATGAATGTTCACGCACTATCAAACAAACCCTAAGCACATCTATGGACACAATTCCACAGGAAGGAATTTCTAGATAGCATCTTACTCATGTCAAAAAAAATATGTCTTCAATATGGATATGAAACCTAGAATGTTATTTGGTAATACGTCTTTGAATAACATGATGACGTTGCAAAAAACACCATCCCCTTTGCTTCCTTAATCAGTGTGTTTAACAGAAATTTAGTAACTTCCAGATAACTGCCTTGTTTTCCCTGAAAAGTTTTTTGTAATGCAGAAAACTAGGACAAAGAACACACTCAAACCAAAAAGGGAATGAGGAGTGATAAAATAAGGAGGCAGTCCATTTTCAATATACGTATTCTAAGTATTAATCATTCACTGCAGTGCCTTGGGGTGATGAATCCATAGCTCGAGATGATTCTAGAACTCTAGAGCCATAAGTTCTATGACACAACTACACAGAGGCTTTCCTTTCACCTTCCCTCTCTTTTCCCACCGTAACACTTACCATACTCAGCTCCCGGGTTCTCTTCCCAATTTCCCTTTCCACCTGGTGCAGTTCCAAGCTCAGCTGCTCACTTGAGATCATTCCAGGCCATTTTGGAGGTGGTGGTGGGGGCTGTGACTGGCCTGCCAGGGTGTTCGCCTCCCTCTGCAACAGCAGCCTATTACTAACAGCCTAGTGCATAAAGCCAAGCACACACAGAGCTCAACACATTTCACACCATGCACAGAAGGACCAGGTCCAATTCCAGACCACAGCCTCAAGTAGCTTATCACTCAGATACTGGCAAGGAAAATGATGCAACTATAAGGTACTGTTTCTTTCTTTGAATACCAGTGGAATAAACAAAGGAAAAGATAGAAGATTTAAACTTCTTAAACAGTAATATAATCTTTGGTAAAAGGCGCTCTTTTTATTTTCTTATTTGAAAGAGAAGTCAACTATAAATGTGCTTCCTTTCCCCTCTTTTTAAATTGAATTTTCTCAGAAAAAATTCTACAATTTATTTCAATGAAACCTCGGTAATGGCAATTTTTAACCACGGTGAATTAAATATATGTCATACTTCCAAATGATGCTGATATTCTCTCTTTTTTAAATTAATTTCTTTATTTTTTAATGGAGGTGCTGGGGACTGAACCCAGGACCTCATGTATGCTAAGCATGTGCTCTACAACCGAACTATCCCCCTCCCCACATGCTGATGTTCTTTTGGTACAGAAAATGAATCTAGAAATTTCAACTAAGACAAAAAGCCATGAAACAGGATAAGGAACAATGCTTTATGGAGTTAAAGGTCCAAATTTTTAACAAACTAGTGAACTAAACATGAACATAATAAACACAGCATTCCTTTTTTTTTAAATAATAGGAATCAGCAAGAAGTTTTGGACCAATTTAAATAAAGCAATGGAAAAAGGAGACAAACATAAATACTATATAGGTTTTAACTTCTAAACCTTACTGCTTATATAAGAGCACAAGCCAAATACATGTTCAAAATACAAATAAAGAAACAAACGGGTGGGGGAGGGTATAGCTCAGTGGTAGAATGTATGCTTAGCATGCACAAGGTCCTGGGTTCAATCCCCAGTATCTCTATTAAAAAAAAAAGATAAATAAATAAAAACCTAATTACCTACCCCTCCAAAAAAGATAAGAAAAACTGAAAAAACAAAACAAAACAAAAAAGTCCCTCCTATTGGTCTTCTTAATAAGAAAGGCTAAGATAGAATCAGTTAGAAATTTATTTCCAAAGTAATGCCTTATTTACTATTAAAGATCCTAGTAGAAAGATAAAGACTAATGTTCCAAAAGTATCTTTTTCTCCAGAATGAAGCAATGTATTTATCACTAGAATGTCTTTCATTTTCCATATTCAAAGAATATATAAAGGATAATATAAAAAAAAAAACCTAGTCTTCCTTATGTGGCACTTAAAGGATTTTAAGAATTCTTTCTTTTCTAATATTTTGTTTCTCATAGGTATGAGGTAGCACGGTGGAAAGAACACTGAATTTGGAGTATGAAGACGTGGGTTCATGTTTCAACCTCTGTGAAACTCGTAGCCTTCAACCAAAAAAAGCGGGGACAATACCACTTATCTAATCTATCAGGGACATGAAAGAGTCAAGTAAGATAAGTGATAGTAATTTATAACCTGAAAGAACTACATTAATGCTATTATTATACAGAGGCTTTTTTTTTAAGGTCAAAGTTCTAAGCTTCTACTTTCTAAAGATGCTGAGGATGAAACGAAGTGAGAAAGTTTTAAAAATTAAAGAAAATATAAGAAATTAAAAACAAATCTCAATCTAAAAGCATTTATTGATTACAAAAAAAAACCCTTCAACTTAAATGTGTCATCAGGAAATATAAATTACTTTTATATATTTTATTTTATATAATATTTTAGAGAAGCTTTGATTTGAAAATAAAATTCATTTTATATTAATATATAAAACATACAAAATATACTATGTTTTCTATTCTCAGGTAATAGAAATTCTAAGTTTCATATTGTCCCAGACTTCAAAGTACTTAAATTCTTTGAAAAATGGACATCTATACTACCTCTTAAGAAATAGAACATTAAATTCTATGTTCATTTACCTCAAAACTTCCTCCTTTTAAAACCTCTTTGAGAATTCCTCAAAAACTGGAATGAAAAAGTATCTCTAGGCTTATACCTCTAGTCCACGTAGCTGGGTCTGCTGGCTGATTTGATGGTTTAGTTGCTGCAATTCTAGTCGTAGCTGTTCCCTCTCAGCAGATGGAAGAGGTTTTCCATGACTGGCCACTTCTGACATAGATAATCTCTCCCTTTCATGAGAAAGAAAGTGTGCGATAAATTAAAAAAAATTTTTTTAAATATTATTGACCAGAAAAACAAAAACATTCAATAATTTTAAGTCTGTGAAAGTAAAAAGAATGACTCATACCTCTCACTGAAGTGTCCCTGAGAAGGTATGTTTTGATGAGGTGAATATGGAGAACTTCCCCAGCCACTGTGGGTTCCATATGGACTATAATCTGCAAGACAGTGAGAGTAATTTACAGTGGTCTGATGTAATTCATAGATTTGATTCTTCTTTTAAGATAGCCATGATCTAAAAGGCACAGGCATATTATATACACAGCTATCTTGAAAGATGTCTACCAAAATGGTAATAGGGTATTGATGTTTGTTTTTTCCTCACTAAAACATTAGTCTTTGTAATTTTTCCTTTTGCTTGAGTTTCCTTTTTAAATGAGATGTACTATTTTAACAAAAGCAATAAAACCAAAAAATGCACAGGTTATCTTCATATTACAGACATTTAATTTTAGTTTATACCCCCAGAATTCCCTAGGTTATAATTACCTTTCTACAGGGATAATACCACAGAAGTTTGAAGACTACTGCCTTGGAAGATTACGAAAAGCACTGATGGTAGACGGGGAGCAGGTGGTGCTGGGAGTCAAGAATATGAACCCTCTACATCAGCTTACCTCTGAGATTCTCACCTGAAATGTTAATAGATTTTGTGGGAGCTCCCTGAGGTGCCATAGCCTGCATTGGGCCTGCACCCTGATATATTGTTTTGGAAGTTCGAGAGATGGCACCAAACCGAGATACTGTTGGTCGGTCTCCAAACGGGATGAGATCATCATCACTGGTTTCTGCTGCTCTTCTCTGAAGGTCCAATCGCTGGTCTCTCATTCCTTTACTCTCCACATTCTGATAAAAAGTAAAATGAAAAATCCACCCCACACTTAAATCTCCAACATAATTTCCTCTCACTCTGTAATAAGGTTAAAATAGAGTATAACATTCTTATTGATAAGACTAAAATCATTAGTTGCTTTTAGCTGTCATATAGAACATTGCTTTTGAAACCTCTGACCTTTTTAAACCTAAAATAAGAATTATATTTTACAACATGACCCAATATATATATACATTCAAATATATATACATATGTACACACACATACATAATTTCATAAGAGATATTTACCTTTACATGTACTGTACTCTTGTGTTTATATTCTGTGTTATTCTATTTTTATTTATTTTGGGGGGGAGGTAATTAGGTTTGTTTATTTATTTAACAGTACTGGGGATTGAAACCAGGACTTGTGCATGCTAAGCCGGCACTCTACCACTGAGCTATACCCTCCCTCCTCTACATTATTCTAATTTATTTCTCTAAAAGAAAGACTCATCATGTTCTATGCAATTAATTTTCGAAACTCAACAGTTGGAAAAACAGTTTAAAAATATAAGCGCCAACATAGCCTTTTCAAAAGGATTCCAGTCAGAAAGAACTAAGTATTAGGATAGATGGAAATCTAATTGCTAGACCTTTGCTATTTAAAGGATAGTTCAAGGACCAGCAGCATCTGTGCATCATTTGAGAACTCATTAGAAATGCAGACTTCCATGTCTCATCCCAGCTTTACTGAATTAGAACCTGCATTTTTAACAGATCCTTAGGTAATGTATATGCACATTAATTTTGAAAAACACTGGGCTAGACTTTCATCCATTTGGGAAATGTTCAATTACATCTAGGTTAGGTTGGCAAACATTTTAATTCTTCATTGATTTCAGGAAATGAGTTCTATTTTGCTAATGTTTATGTTACTTTATTATAATAACCCTTTCTGAAAGCCAAGTACAAAGCAAGGGTTTCTATTTCCACCTCCTCATCTCATTCCTGTTCTCGGAGAGGCTGTTTTCTATGGACTAAAAATGACACTTCCCTAATCCTTCTATAGAAAAACAAAAGGTTCATTTTTGATTTTTCCTCTTCTATATCCTTTTCTTTCTGTCTCTTTACTATTTTTAATTGGCTGGCATCTAATCATATTTATGCTCCAGATATGACTTCACTCATTTATAGTGGTATTGTCATCTAAGTCTTCGTTTTCTATTACCAAGAATTGGTCTTCTCTTAAACAGCTGGACAAATCTTTGTCTATGAAAACCTATATAATAACCTAGGGAACCTCTGTTAGATTTATTAAGGGCAAATAGCTTAAGAATAATAGTCAACGCATACCTTTAACCTACCAATACTAAACTTCTAAGCATAACTTTCATGCATACACACAAGGAGACATACTCAAAAATAGTAAAAGATTAAAAACAGCCTAAATGTCCATCAACAGGAAAATGAATAAACAATTATACATATTTATTGCATGATAACAGTTATCATACAATATTATCTGATAAAAGAATTAAAATGAATGAACCTGAACTATAGGTATAAATTTGGATACAACTCAAAAACAATGTTGCATGAAAATGCAAGTGGAAGTGTATCATATATATAAGGTCTATGAACATGCAAAACAAAATTGTTTAGAAGTAGTATAAAATTATCTATAAAATGATAAATTCTCAATTCAGGATAGAGGTTGCCTCCAGGGAAGGAGGGAGGGACAAAATGAGATTAGGGAGGTATACACAGGAGGATTTAACTACTTATGTAAAGTTTTATTTCTTTAAAAGATAAAGAAGCAACTAAGATAAAAGTGACACATTTTAAGCTTGGGTATTAGATACACTGGTTATTACATTATTTTTTGTTTTAGAAAAACCAAGATCTTGATTAATTATGCAAAATAATTTCAATTCTAAAGAGCTGTTGGGTTAATCGCTGGCTGCATAGAAATATAAAAATACTCTTGTCTAGACAAGTATGAAAAGATTTTTATTTATACCTGAAACAAAAAAACATAGCTTAAGTATGATTCAATCACATAGTATAGAATATGGCCTGGAACTTCAGCAAAGCTCAGTTATCTGTGTCTATAACTGGGGTTTATCTTTGATTTGTATTCGTTTATTTGATTGATCTTGATTTGTATTAGTTATGACACGTACCATCATTTCCACACTCCCTGCTGCCGCAACATCTTTGGGTTTTGCATCTTTGGTTCCAATGTAGGAGCCGATGGTGTCACATGACCAGGGTGAGTACTGGCTATAATCATTTCCTTTGTATTTCCCAGCTACCTTGAAGTCTTCATCCAAAAACTATAGATTGGGGTGGGGGGAGAGAAAAGAAAAAAAAAAAAGGAAATGGGTCTATGAATAACAACATAGAGAGCAGGAGTTTCTTTATTAGAACATCATGCTGAGGCAACATAATGATAGTTATTTGATTTGTGTCACAATAGAAGATTTTTGTAGACTATGAAAGATAGAAAACAAATGAAAAATGATGTCCAGCCTTTATATTTCATTAGCAGAGGGTCATAAAGAAGCATCTGAATATCTTTCAAGCAATCAAATTAGGATTTTTGAGGTTTGCTCATCCTCTTTCTCATCAGATGAAATTAACACTCAGGCAAATACATATATCACGTCCTAGTTTTGCTAGATCCTCCTTAATGTATTTTTCAATAACATTCCAGGTAAACAAGGGTATTAAAAACTCTTAAAATGTAATTTAAAATGTTCCATATAGTACATGATGATATAACAGCTTTTTTATTGGAATCTTTTAATAGCAATAATTCATATCTTGAATTAATTCTGATCCTTAGGTTGATTCAATGAAGTGAAAAGGATAAGATGCCAAATTTTCTTTTCTCAGGGTGAGTTCTGGAATTATGTAATAACAAAATAGGTATTCTAGGTCTAATGTATTTTTACTAAAATTGCAACATTTACATTTTTGTAATGTTTTACAGTTTACAAAGTGTGTTTATATATAGACTATCTCATACGTTCCTCAAGTCCTTACAAGACAACACGGGTGATCTGACTGAGGCTATACCAGTATAGAGTGTGCTGAACAATATTAAATTGCTTTCACTTTATGACAGATATATATACCAACATACTAATACTCTAGGGGGTTGTTGGTACATTTAAGTGGCTCATGCTTTCCCCTATATTAAAAACCTCCACTATTTTCTGAGTCATCACCACTGGTCTTCTGCACTGGCAGGGGGGTCTGCTGTTCACAAGTACTACTCATTTTCAACTGCAACTCCTGTTTCTACTGTTTATAACGTCTTTCCTTTTTTTTTGTTTTCTTTTTTTTCCTCTTTCCTTTTTTTGATCATACTTTAAAAAAAATTCCATCTCCTTTTTTTATTTCCCCTCCACTTAACAAATTTCACGTAGAACAGCTAGCTTTTTAAAGACATGATCTACTAACAAGAGTGCTTTTTCCCCCAATCACAATGTATTATGCAGCTATTAAAAAGAACGAGATAAATTTATACACTGCACTACTGCATCTAGGATAATTAAATAAAAACAAAATACACACAAAAAATGTAAAAAACAAAGCCTGGAGATATTATTACTAAATGATCCTATTAAAAATGATAACTGTATGTTAGTTCACGAACAGAGAAAGTTGAAATATATAATAAGCTGACAATGACAGAAAATGAGATTCTGGAGAAATTTTCTTTCTATGTTATATATTTTATGTATGAATTTAGAACAACTATATGTAGGTTGTTTATAATCAGAACTAAGGTTTAATTATATAGCTTTGTATGTCATTAACTAAACTAATTCTAGATGAAGTTCCTTAACGGCCAGGCCTTATTATAATTTTTTATTACAAATAAAAATATAATAATACAAATAGTCATTATTTACTGAATGCCTGCTAGATGCCAGATACCTTATGTCTCATGTAATCTTCACACCATTATGAGGCAGGTTTTATTATGCTTGATTTACAAATAGAGAAACCTGAACCTCAGGGTTCCGGAAGGTAAGCAACTTACACACTGATCACACACTGAGTGATACAGCTGAACCTCACAAATATATTTCATTCCAAAATTAGCTCACTTTTCAGCGTCATATTGCTTTCCATTATTTCCTAAAAAATGGTATGGCATAACAAGGCTCTAGGATGTCTCTAGTATACAGTTTAAGAAAAAAAATCATGTGATGTGAATACTGTACAAGAAGAAATTATTACGAATATCAGAAGTGAAACGATGAACATCACTGTAGACCCTGTAGACATTAAAAAGGTAAGACAACACTCATTCATAATCGTTAGCACTGTCTTGTAAAAATACTAAGAAGATAATGTACCCTGTAGTACATTAATCAGTTTATTCTAGCAACTTTATTTCGGTGTTCTTTTTTTCCTGCCTTTCACTACCTATATTATTAACCTGTCTATCCTATTCTTTGAATCAACTTTATCATGCTGCTGTTTTCCTCATTATTGAGTTAAATAAACCCTGACAGGTCTCATTTACAAAAACAGTCTATAATGAGGAATACAGAGGAATTTCATTAATGTGATAAAGATTATCTACAAAAAAACTGACAGCAAACATCACAGTGGTAAACTAGAAGAAGCTCCGTTAGCTCAAAGACTGGAAATAAGTCAAGAATACCTATCATTCTTTTATTTATTATTATACTGAAGATTCTAGCTTGTACAAAAAGGAAAAAAAAGAAAGAAAGAAAGAAAAGACTTAAGGACTGAAAAGGAGAAAGTAAAATGGTTATTATTCAAAGAGGACATAGAAAATCCAAAAGAATCTACTAACAAATACTAAAATTAATAGGGACATTTACTAAGGCTGCTTTAATAAAGAGAAATTAAGTACATTTTTGTGTATTGACCCTTGTGTTCAGCAGCCTTGGTAAATGAAATTTCAAAAAGTATTCCAGTTAAAACAGCTTCAAAAAACCTTAGTTTTTTCTAGGAGTAAGTTTAATGAAAGATGTGTAAGACACTGAAAACTCTGAGATATGATATTCTTGAGAGAGATTTAAAAGGATCCAAGGAAGTAAATCTCCACGTTCTTGGAGATTTAATACTGGAAAGATGTCACTTCTCTCTAGATGGACCTAAAGCAACATTGTTCAATGAAAATACAATGAGACCTAAATATGTAATCTAAAAATTTCTAGAAGCCACATGAAAAAATAAAAGAGGTAAAATTAATTTTAGCAACACATTTAATTTAATCTAATATATCCAAAGTATTATCATTTTAACATGTAATTAATAGAAATATTAATAGAAATTATTAGAAATATATTACTTTGGGGGGGTACGAAATTATTTTGGGGGGTACGAAATCTCCAGATCCAGTGTATGTTTTATGCCTACAGCACGGGTGAATTTGGACTAGTTACATTTTAAGCACTCATTAGCCATATTGGACTGCACAGACCTAGAGATTCAATGTAATCCTAATAAAAACTGCAGCAGATATTTCTATGGACATCAACATGCTGATTTTGAAATGTGTTTGGAAATTCCAAGGACCAAGAACAGCAAAGGTAATTGTGAAGACTAAAACTGGAAAACATACATAACCACAGTAAGACATAAAACTATACTAAGACAATGTGGTGTTGGTGTAAGGATAGAGAAAAAGATCTTGAAACAGAAGAGAATCCAAAAACATATATAGTGACCTCACTATGACAAAGGTGACCTGATTATGATAAAGGTGACTGCAGGGGACTGGGGAAAGAGTAGTCTTTTAATTAAATGGTGCTTGATCAATGAGATATCCTCATGGAAAAAACAGATCTTGACTCCTAAGACACTATATACAAAATTCAATTCTAAATGGACTTAGATCTAAATGTGAAATAAAATAATAAACCTTTTAGAAGAAAACACAGGAAGATATCTTCATAACCTTGAGAATAGGCAAAGATTACTTAAACAGGACACAATAAACCACTGATAAAGGAAAAATTGATAAATGAAACTAAAAAAGATATGCTTACTTCCTCTTGATGGAAGGTAGGAGGCAACGTTGGTGAAGGTGCAAAAGGAGGTGGAGAGATAACCTTCCTTTCCTCTAGTTGGGCCATTATTTCCTTTCGTCTTCGATGTAGCTCATCTAGACTAGGATGGGGCTGGGGAGGAGGAGGAAGCCGGCTATAAGGAGGCTCCTGAAAAATGCAAAGATCAATAAAAATTGAAAAATAATTTCAGAACACATTGATTCATTTAGCAAATGTTTTTAAAAAGCAGACTGTATACTTAAATAGACTTAATAAAACAAAGCAAAACAAAATAAAGCCCCCTAAAACTCTCAGGATTTCCCAAAAAGCTAAATTTTTTTAGTTTCTTTTTCTTGGCCAGAGATTGTAATTTCTAAACAGATCTAGAAATGTTAATAAAACCACCTACAGTTCAGAAACTAAGATGGGTTAGTGGGAGTGGGGTGGGAATTTTTTCCCTTTTAACAGTTTAAAAACAAAAACCTGTGCAGATTATGAAAAGGTAAAAAAAAAAAAAGAGAGAGAGAAGATGCTTTATTTAAAAAAAAGAATTAACTGATCAAAGGGTTATTACCATGGCAAGAGGTTAAAAAGAAATCACTGTAAGCAACAATCAAATTAAATCTAATAATAAGAAAAAACTATGGCATACTCTGTTGTACGCAGGTCTGATTTGAGTTGGATGAGGAGCCACCGGATAGTACCCCTCCATCTGTTGGTATCTTTCTCTGGATTCTGGTACATAGGATGGTACTGCTGCAGGTGGAATCTCAATGGGTATAGGACTTTCTCGGAAAATCTCCTCTCTTGTGTAAGACTGAGCAGGGTATACTCGACGGCCATCATAGTGTGGTGGGTACATAGCTGTGTACTGTTGTGGCTGTGTGCCATATTGAGAGTTTACTACACGATCTTGCAGGTAGGGTGGATAATGATCCAAGTAGGGAGGACCAGGTTCAGGAGCAGATGGTGGAGGTCGGACAAAGCGAGACACACACTGTGGTGGTGGAGGATAATACATACCTGTACAACACAAAAGAGGAACGAAAAGCAACAATGGGCCAATTTAATTTTCTATACAAGACTTTTCTTTTTAAAATATTTCAACACTAAAGAATTACTAATCCACTCATTTCTTTAGCTGTTTTTCCCTCTGCTTATGTGGTCAGGTTTGCTTTATGAAAAATAACAAGCAAAAATTATCCCTAAAAGCCATTGAAATCACCAATCTACTTATGGTCTACAATAGTAAACTAGGCTCTCAATTGTCTTGTCTTTCCGATGTGCCTTAAGACCCTGCAAACACTGGAAAGCAAAAACCTACATCTCCCTGAAGTTTAGGTTCCATAAATCACTCACTTGCATTAGTTTTGAATGTGAAATTGAGTTAACTGGAAGGAGATGCGGCCTACAAAAGATGCATTTTGCTGGTGCACATCTAGTAGCTATAGCTCTAGAACTCTTGACACAACAACGGTAGCAGTAGCTTCCCAATTTCCAGGCTTTTGCCTCAACTGATGAGCTCCTCGTGCTGGCATTTAGAAGTTTCCTATTTCTACTGCTACTTGACTGAAGCAGGTTCTTCCAGCAGCTGCTTCTGGGATTCATTCCTGGAGGCCTGGCTTAAGCCTACTTTGTCAGTACTCAACTCTGTGGGCACCCAAATGCTCTGCATTAAACCTCTTCCTGCTTAATATAGCCAGAATGATTTCTGTTATTTGCAGCTGAACCCTAATTGATACAATGTATTTAAGGTCAATTCAGAAAAAGTAGTTGAGTTTTTCCTGCAATGAATGGTCAAAAGGAAGATACAGATCAAAAACTTGTACCATATTCTTATATGTATTAATAACACCATACCAACTTAAAACTATTTTTTTGAAATCAGAAAAGACATTTCTGATTCAAAATTGAGATGGTCTTGGAAAAAGGAAATGGATAACAAGTTTAATCTATCCCAGTTTAAAAATAGTGCTATACCATTTCTGATAAAGAAATTCAACACTTCAGTTTAAAGATCAGTGTTCATTTTTACACATGAATTGTATGCATGAAGCCTCAGTCCTCTCCTTCGTTCTCCATACCTAATAATATTAAAATTGGCTAATTTTTCACATTTATCTATTTTCTAAAATACTTCTTTTTTCCCACCACACTAATTCAGACCTCAACACTCACACCTGGATTAACAGCAATCCTTACTCCTCCTCGACTCCAGACTTGACTCTTCTCTTTGCAATCCATTTGTAAATTTTTCTTTCTATTTCTAATACCTCCGCTTAGGGCATTCTTCCATAAAGTCTTATATCCCCTGAAATATTAAAGTCTTTTTTCATGCTTGAAGAAAATTTTGGTCAGGAATATATATATATAGTCTCAGCAAATTTTCATTATCTACCTGGGTGACTTATTTCCATAATATGTGAACATATTTAGCATACAATTTTGCTCTTAGTAAGGGCAATTTGCTTTTCATAGCTTTGCTACTTCATTTATTTCATACTACTTAGTTGATCATATCTCAGTTTTTTCCAAGTACTAAAAAATGCATTTATTTGAGGGGGCTACTGTAAATATGATCACTCTTACTTGAAATGATTTTCATAACTCCTAAGAAAAATGAGCGATGTAAATAAAAGATCATTACCCTGCTGATAAGGTGCTGGTTCAAATGGTGGGGCCGCTCCTCGAGGATCCTGGTAATAAACATCTGCCTGTTGTGCTGGATATAACTGAGAACCTCGTGGAACCATCTGAAGTGGTTTGGTGACAGGCATAGGGGGCAGGTCTGACGCCCCTCGTGGAGGTACAGGATGTGGATTCACAGGCAAGGCAGAAATACTCTTAGGGACAGATTCTAGCCTATAGCAACAAGATTCTGCAAGTCAAGTTTAAGGTCTTGAAAATATTTACAATGTACACAAATTGTTACATGTAAAAAAAAAAAGCCACAATTTAGTTATCTGGTTTCTTCCAACAGTCATCCTTTCTACAAAATTCACAAACTTTGATCCTACTTCACCTATGTTAATTGTTTCTTAAAAATCATTAGCACAGGAAACAAAGAAAAGACAAAATACAGCCCCCAAATGAGTTTCTTCCCCTTCAAAACAAAACATTGATTTTTTTTTTTGTATCTATAAAGAAACTTAAATAAAAGTTTAGAGAAACAACATACAGGTCAGGAGGTGATCCAGGGGCACTACTGCTCAGGTGATCTATTTTTCCTGGTTTCAGACTAGAATCGTAGCTGGGGTCTGTCCCTCGTGGGATCAGCTGTGTTACTGGATTCCCTGCTGATACAATTCCGTTTGGCAGAGCAGGGGGCTTTCTGCTGGGCAAATCCACTGCACCTTCATCCGGAAGGATAGCTGCTGAAGGCAGGCCCACCTCATTAAGTTGACCCAAAGAGGCACTCAGGGGTCTTCTGGGAACCAAACGTTTGTTCATTTTACGAAATCTATATAAAAAGCAAAGGCATATACCAAAAACAAAAATCATTAAAGCAAAATCAAGAACTAAAATATATTGAAGAAACAAAAGGAAAAGATTCCAAGCACAACATTTTTTAGAAATTCTCTTGAAACACTGGCTCTAGCTATCAATTTGAAAACTTGTGTATGTGTGTATACACATACACATACACACACACACACACACACACACACACACACATTTTGGTGGTGGGTGGGGGTGGGAGGACTATCCAGCAGCAGTAATCACTGTTAACAGTTTGGTATATAATACAGACTTTGCTCTCTATACACTGGCTTAAGTTTGGTATATAATATAGACTTTGCTCTCTATCCATTGGCTTAAATTCTGATGTATAAGATTATTATTTACAGAAATAGGGCTGCATATAACCACTTAGTAAATTCTTTTCCTCTACTTAATAATCTTGAATATTCCTTTAAGTCAGTATACTTTAGGTTGTTCCTAATTTTTTGGTATTAAAACAATGCATTAATGGGAAATTATGTACATGTACTGGAACCCTTGTGTAAACAGCCCAAAGCAGAATTATTAAGTCTAATGTATGTACATCTGAAATTGTTATAATGCTCCAAAGCTATTATAACTCCTACTGATAATAAAAGAAAGGTCTTTTCTCAGTATCTCATTAAACACTGGTTAGTATCAGCCTTTAATAAGTTGACAGTTCAAAAATATCAAGTTTTGATATCATTTGCATTTCTTTAACAATTAGTGAAACTAACATAGTTCCATATTTGCTGCCATTAGTGTTTCTTCTGTGAATTGCCTATTTATGTTCATGATCCATATATCTCCTGGTTCTTCTCTTAGAGATTTGTAGGCACTCATTTTACGTTAGGGATATCAGCCTCTCGTACGTCATTTCCCCACCAATCTTTTTTTTTTTTTTAATTCCAGTGTTTGGGCCATATCTTAGTTTTCAATTTTCATGTAATCAAATTTAATAATATTCTTCTTTATAGATGCTGGGTTGTCATTACTCAAAATGACATCTTTCCTGATGTTTAAGATTATGTAACAACAATAACAAAAATCTCTTAAGTATTCTATAGTTTGTCTTCTTAAATATTTTTTTTAAATTTTTCAACATTTTTTATTGAGTTCTAGTCATTTTACAATGTTGTATCAAATTCCAGTGTAGAGCACAATTTTTCAGTTATACATGAACATACATATATTCACTGTCATTTTTTTTAACTGTGAGCTACCACAGGATCTTGTATATACTTCCCTGTGCTATACAGTATAATCTTGTTTATCTGTTCTACATTGTGAAATTCCAGTCTGTCCCTTCCTACCCACCTCCCCCTTGGCAAACACAAGTTTGTATTCTATGTCTATGAGTCTTTCTGTTTTGTATTTATGTTTTTTTTTTTTTTTAGATTCCACATATGAGCGATTTCATATGGTATTTTTCCTTCTCTTTCTGGCTTACTTCACTTAGAATGACATTCTCCAGGAGCATCCATGTTGCTGCAAATGGCGTTATGTTGTCGGTTTTTATGGCTGAATAGTATTCCATTGTATAAATATATCATATCTTCTTTATCCGGTCATCTGTTTTCTTAAATATGTAAATCTGATACATTTATAATTCATTTTGGTATAAAGGTAAGAATCTAGCTATAATTAATTTTCAAATGGATAGAGTTGTTCCATCATCATCTTTTCTGTTATTGATGTGAAATGCCACCTTTAACATATATGTTGAGTTCCCAATATGTATCTGGAACTTCTTCTAGATTTTCTACTGTATTTCATTGGTCTAGCTATTCCCATGCTAATACCAGTCTTTATTCCCACTTTTGCTCATAAAACAGGTTAACAGTTATTAGTCTAGTCCCTATTGAAGAGTTTTTTTTTTTTTTTTTTTTTCAGAATTTTCCTAACTGCTGGAACATATTTTTACTTCTAAATGAATGATTTTGTTAGGTCCCCAAAATCATGATGTTAAGATTCTAATTGGTATTTCACTGAATATACTATTTATAAGAGAAAATAAAACCTTTATAATTCCAACCCTCTAAGAACATAGTATTCTTCTTTATTTATTCAGTTCTTCTCTTATGTTCCTAGCTAGTTTACCAATTCATTTAATACAGATCCTGGAGCTTTCTTATTAGTTTATTATTGGTATTTATCTTTTATGTTTGTTGCTAATGCAAAAGAGATCTTTAATGTCACCTTTTTAACTGGTTGTATTTACCATTTTAATTTGTATGAGACTAATTCTTTTTTGTAAAGTAATTTTTTGATTTGTTACCTTACTAAATTCTGGTTTCTTTTGTTTCTAGTACTTCTCTTGAGTTTTCCCATGTAATGATTTTGGCTATTTTATTCTCTTGGTTACATACATTAGCTACTTGTACAATATTAAATAATAGTTTTACTATAAGAAAATCTTCCCTTACTCTTGATTCTAACAAGACTGACTCTAATAATCTATTATCAATTAAGCATCATGGTATCATGCTGGCTTTTGATTTGAGATGTAATTATCATGTTGGCAAAGTGTCTAGTCTATGATGTGTTTGTACCACTAAGGGATCTTCATCTATCGTGGACATTGGATATTATTCAAATGCCTTCTGGCATCTTTGGGTATGATCATATGGTTATTATACTCTGTTCTCCAACCTATAGTAATTATATTGTGACAACTTTGCACTTAATAATGGTGTCTATTTTAATGTATTATTGAATTCTAAGTTTTAATATTTAGGATTAAAAAATTAATATGTGAGATGTATTTGTACTTCTTTATGTGCTTTGTCAAATTTGGTGTCAGTGTTACACTGGTTTCATAAAATAATTAAGAGGTTTTCCTTCCTTTCTACTATTTGCTAGAAATTTAACATCACTGAAATTATCTGCTCCTTGAAATTAGAAGGAATCTGTGAAACTGAGCTTGGCAATAAATAATTTCTTGAGTAGAGCAAAGGGCAAATTTCCCCATTGGAAATGCATTATTCAATTAGTTAAAATCAATCAGTTGAAGTTGATGAAAGTTCTTAAGAGTTTTACTTTTTGGGGGGAATGAAAAAAAACTCACTTTTAGATACAATTAACCATAAGCAACTTTCTATTTTTAGGCACAATGTAATGAATGCTAAAGAAACTGCTTTGGTTTTTTTTTTAATTTTGTATTACTTTCTAAACACTCTTATTCATTAAAGAGAATGCAACTACCTCTCTTCATATTTCTCAGTGGCAGCAAGTAATTCTGCTTAATAATTCTACCTTATTCAATAACAAGTTATTAGAAGGCTGTCTAATGACTTTCACACTTACTTTTCCAGTTCCTCCTGTGAGTGTGCAAATGTACAGCTGGCCCCTCGAGGGCATCCTCCTCTCTGCTTCATGTCTCGACACATGTATGTTTTGTATTTGCTATGCTGTGGAGGCTAAGATCAAAATTAAAACATTAGCTTCTAAGAAAAAGAAGTAAATTCCATGTTGCCATTTTAGGATCTTAGTAATCTAGATGAATAATTCATACTACTTCATATAATTATCTATATTGCCAAGAGCAAAAGTGCTGGTAATTCATTCTGTCTGAGGTCTTAGAGAGTCCCAAAATTCATTCATTAATTAAAAAATGTAATGCTGATTTTTCTGATATGTCGACACTAACAATCAAACATAATGTAACATCAGATAAATTATTGATTCAATCTCATGAGAGTTGTATTTTTTTTTTTTATAATGGACAAACCACTGGGTATTAGGACTTTCAACTATTTAAACTGTCTTCTAAGTATTTTCTTTGGATGATGTTCAATATAGCTATACTTATAATCATGTTTCCTTATAGCTAACTACAAATCTACAGTAGGTCCTATAACTGAAGAATATTCTGTAACCAATTCTTGACAGGCAGAAGAATATGACAAGGACTTTAAAGTATCTCCAAAGGTATAAATGAAACTTATTATTTACAAATCAGGGATAAAGCAGGAGGACAGATTTGGGAGTTGATAAGATATCAAACACAATACTAAGCTAAGTGAAATTTAATGTATTTCATCATTTATTGGCAGAACTTAAAAGTTAACCGTATTATATTTTTATCACATTCTTCACGAGGTCTAACAGAACAGGGAGTTAAAAATAAGTTTTTTAGAATTTTTTTTTTTTTTTGGTGGAGGTACTAGGGATAAAACCCAGGGCCTCATGCATGCTAAGCACACACTCTACTGCTGAACTATATCCCCTTATTAAAAGATAAGTTTTTAATTTTCTAAATTTTTTAATTGTAAAGTTCTGATCTGTGCTTAGACTAACTGGGAAAACTGTGTTCCTATGTGGATCTATTCATCTATACAGCAGAACACTTTTAATATTTCTTGCTTTCAAAGAAAAAAAATATTGAATAATCTATTGTTAATATTTACTTGAGCCAGATAAATTAATAACACAGTTTTAATTTCTCAAGCTTACTACTACGAAATAAAGCGTGCAGTGAACCTAACGTAAATCTTGAGGGCAAAATGAAATTATTGGGAGTAAAACTGAAAACTCTTGCCATAATATAGGCTATTATATTTTACTGCCATGTTTCATTTAAAAATATTGGAGGAAAATTTGGCCCACTGGTATAAGACATTATGCATGAATAACATTTAAATACTAATAGAGAAAAAGCATTTACAAAATATGTGAACAGTATTGGAGAGAGAGCATTAGCACCAAGAAGTGATACCTATCGTCAAACTGGAATGTAACAGTAACCAAAGAGAATGATTTTATATAAATGGAATAACCTTTAGCACAGGATCAAATGCTGCATATCCAACGTGAAAAGTGACTCCAGCACAACACCAGACCAACAAGGATTATTTAATTTCAATGTTGTCAGATAAAATTACTAGGCTAACCCAGTAAACTGGCTGTTAATCATCCTAAACTATAAATCTTATTATTTTTGTTACATTCTTCATGATGTTTAATGGAACAGAGAGTTAAAAATAGGTTTTCAATTTCTAGTTTAATTTCCAGTTTCTACAGATTCTCAAAGCACATCATCTTGTCAGCTTTGCTTGTATCTGTGAGGATAACCGCAATGGTTTACTTCTCCTCACCTGCTGTTGATCTGCTCCTTTTTTGCTGTGATTCTGGATATAATCAACCAGCCCATGCACCACTGTACGCACAGCAACCAGCCCATTTTCAAGCTGTTCCCAAGTAGGAGGAGGAGCATCTACACAACAAATTAAAAAAAAATCTTAACTATGTTATGCAATGTTCTGCCCAATATTAAATGAATAAAGGAGTTAGTGTCAGCAATTTAATGAAAAGATAAATAATCAAATACAAAATATTCAGATAATGAGGGTTTGAATGAAGAGAGCAAAGCAAGAAGTGGGACAGGTATGTGTAAAATTCTAGACAGAGTATCCAGAGAAGGCCTCCTTGAGGTTACATTTGATTAAAAACATTAAAGTAGGGTTTGAGTGTGCCTTGTGGATTTATTAGGAGAAAAAACTTTCTAGGAAGAGGGAAGAAGATATGCAAAGGCCCTAATATGGGAGTATGCCTGGCATGTTCATGGAGGTGAAATTTGGAATGAATTAGATGGGAAAAGAATAAGAGAAGAAGCTGGAGAGAGGTAAAAACCAGATCAAAAAAGACTGGCTTTTACTGAGTAATGGAAAGCACTGGAGAATTTTTGAGCAGAGGGGTAACAGGATCACTCTGGCTCCTATGCTACAACCAGACAGACAACAGGAAGCTATTCCATAATCCATGAATAGAGGTTAGGGTGGTAACAGTGAAGGTGCTAAGTAGATAAATTCTGAATGGATTTTAAAGGTAGGGCCTATAGGATATGCTGATAGATCAGATGTACCTCATGAGAGAAAAACAAGTTGATGATGTTTGGACTGAGGAACTGGAAAGATGGAACTGCCACTAACAGGAATGGTGAGAAAGTGGAGGACAGGAGTTGGAGTTCACTTTTGGACAGATTAGCTTTGAAATTCTTATTAGATATTCAAACAGAGCTACTGGATATTGAGCAGTCAGTTGGATATACAAAAGAATTCAGGAAGAAGGTCTGGGTGGTATATATGTTACACAGATTCTAAAACACCATCAACTGTTTAACACATACCATTATTTTATATACTATCAAAATAGAAAAAAGATTGCTAATTATCACGTCATTGATTGTACAAATGAATCCCAACTTCAGTAATGCTATAATCTGAAAACATGTGGGCTTCAGAACTGATGAGATACAGTAAATTTGCATTTCATGTAAATACTATTTAAAGCCACGAGACTGGATAAGATTACCTAGGGAATGAGTATAAATAGAAAAGAGAAGAGATACAAGTATTAAATTCTCAGAGTACTCCAAAGTTTGGAGGCTATGGGGAAAAAAAAAAAAGGTTAGACGCTATGGAGATGAAATCAGCAAGAGGCTGAGAAGGAGGGTCCAATAAAGTAAGAAGAAAACTAGAAGAGTGTGCTGGCCTGGAAGCCAAGTGAAAGGAGTCTCACAAGGAGTAGAGAGTAAATAACTATGTTAAATGCTGCTAACAGGTCAAATACAAAGAGAACCAAGAACTGATGTTTGGAATTAGCTACATGGAAGTCACTTGTGACCTTAACAAGAGCAATTTTGATTGTGCGGAAGACATAAAATGCCTGATCAGAGTGAGTTCAAGAGAGCGTCATAAAACGGAGAGAAAGGGAGTGCTAAGTAGATGGCGAATAATGTCAAAAGTGGGTTATGATGGGGGAAGGCATAGCTCAAGTGGTAGAACACATGCTTAGTATGCATGAGGTCCTGGGGTCAATCTCCAGTCCCTCCTCTAAACATAAAATAAATAAGCCTAATTACCTCCCACCAACAAAAAACTGGGTTATGATGAGAGAAATAACAGTACGTTTGTACAGTGATAGAAATACTCCAGTAGAGGAGGAAAACTGATGACATAACAGAGGAAGCTGGACAGATATACTTGACAAGATGATATTAGTACATGAGGAGAGAGGGTAGCCTCAGCTAGTACAGTTTATCCACTGTCATATATAAGAGAGCAGACTGTATTGGCACAGATGCAGGTAGACAGGTTGGTGATTGATGGGGTGGTAAGCTTGTGGAAGTGCTCTTCTGATCGCTCAGAACGATCAAAGCACAGAAGTAAACAAACAAGCAAAAAATCACTGCGCTCTAGGAATAGATTTTATGTTGTCTGATTAAGTATTTCTGGTTGTAAATTTATTACTCTGAATGTCATAGTTAAGAGTTCCAAATCTTATTCTATAAGCAATGGGGTGTCACTGCAAGTTTGTAAGAATAGACATAAGATCAGAGATATGACTTATTTTACAGTAGTAAGTAGACTGGTTGGAAGAATTAAGAGTAGAGGAAAATGGGAGGGCATTTAGTCTTAGGAAAAGGAACGAGGCCCTCACTGAGACACTATTAATAGGCACAGAATAGAGCATATTACGAAGGAACAGATAAATCCTGTTGTCTAAAATGGTATATAGAGTAAGTGAAAGGAAAAGACTCAGGTTTTCAGCTTACACCTCAAGAGAATGAGGTCATTTACAGACAGGGAACACAGGATGAAGAGCAGGTATCAAGTGAAGGGGAGTCTGCCACACAGAGAGGACAGAGAATCTCAGAAAGCATCTGTGGAAGTGGGTCTGGAATGATGAAGAGCTAAGAGCGACACAGACGCGACACAGACACTAGGAGTCTGTTATTAATAAAGAAATAATACCTGATGCTGAGAATGACTGTCATCAATAGAGAGTGCAGGGAAAACAAAATCCAAGAACACAAATGGCCTGCTCTTCAGGGGACAGCAGAGCAAAGAGTGGTCAATATAAGACAGCATTCAGAAAGATCAGAAGAGAATCATTAAGATCGCAGAAAGATAAGGCATCAGGAGAGTTTCTATGTCAAGGAAGCAGTAAACAACATTACCAAGTATTGAAGACAAATCAAGTAATTTAAGGACTGAGAAAAAGTTTGGAATTAGAAACAAGGAAATTACCAGCGACTGTTAAGAGTTTTAGTTTAGTAGTAAGAATAAACACAGAGACAGCAACAGAATACAAGCTAACACATCTGAGATGCTAAGAATTAGGTGAAAAATGAAGACTGGATGATTTTTAGATCAAGGAGAAGGATCAGGAAAAGGCTTATTAACAAAGACATGTAACAGAGGATGTGTGATGGAATAAAATATCATAGAAAAGGGAAAGTTGGGACCAAAAAAATGCAACTAAAGATATGTGATTTAGAAAAAAAATGAGAAAACTTAAGTTTTGTCAAAAGAGATGAAAATGGTAAAACACAGCACAATTTTGTCATGGGAGAATGAGGAAACATAAAGGATCCCAGAGAGAACCTATTTTCTGGATGATTATGAGCAGCACAGTAAAAAGTATTAAATAAACATTAGTTGAAGTAATAAAGAAATAGTCAAGACTGGGGTCAGAAATGTAAGTACTGTAGAAAAGTTCTGGAACTGCTACTCTGGGAAATTCTAGAAAAATATAACAAAAGGTAATTAAAAGAATCATTAAATAGCATTACGGCACATATGGGATAGTCCAGTAACGTCTCTTGGGTTTACCTGGGCTAGGGTCAATGTTTGCTAATAGCTCCAAATGGGGTCTTAGTCGGTTCAAGTTTGCTGGATCTCCAGTCCGCTGGAGAGCAATTGTTAGTTCCTGAACACTTTGTGCAAAAGAGGCTGGGGTCTGCAACTTAAAAAAAGATAAATATTAACTTCCCCCTAAAGGCTAGATAATCCTTTAAAAATAAAGGCTGCTTACAATATCACAATAATTTTTGTAATTTATTAAATCTAATTTTTATCCTCCTGCACATCCCATGCTTTGGCCAGATTGTATTACTCACTACCTGAACCCTGAACTTCTCTGCATCCACAGGTTGGCATATTGTACACTCTCTTTCCTCTGTCCTCATATCCCTCAAATGTGAGACCTTTCTCAAATCCTCAATTTGGAAATATTCTTTACGTCTTATGTTCTTAAAGCACTATGTTAGTTTGACTCTTGCGGGGGGGTCTTTCCAAATAATTCAAATTTGGAAATATAGTCTAGAGATAACGCTATACAGTAGCAAGAACAATGAAACCGAACTCAAACCGAGCTTGAATTCAAGTTCTATTATAGATCAACGATTATGACACTATATATAACCTTTACAGACTCAATCTGAAATCTATCTGTTGTATGGACTAAATGATTTCAAAAGTCCATTCTAGCTCAGAAAAACCCTACATTGGTTTGGGATTCTTGGAAGATTTCAGGTTGTATATTTTCCTAAGACTTAATGACACACATACTTGCATTAAGTCTCCTAGGTTAGCCAATACATATGACCTTTAAAGGAAAAATTTAACTACATGATAGTAACTAAGGGTTCTTACTTGGAAACATTTGACTCTCTATGTAATTTATTAATATAAAAGAGAATTTTTCTCCCCCAAAGGTCATTCTAAAAGGTAATTTTTAAAAAAGCACATATTTAAAAAAAAATGGAAAATACAACTATGTTGACATGCCTTTAATTCAATTTTTCATCTCTGCATGCTTTTTATATACTTACAATCAGCCATTTATAAACTTATGGGTTTGCCTCCCATTAATACTACAACAAAAGGATTTTTATATAGCTAACCATTTTTATTATGAAATACTTCAAAGAAAAGCAACTAACATAATACCCATATATCTACCACCAAGACTTAACAGAAATATTTCACTAACACTTTTCCAAGAAGAAATTAAATGTTATTTATCAGTAGAAAAGAGTATCTGTCCTGACATAACTGCAATTTAATGGCCATTTAACAGTGCTCTGAGTAGACATATCTTAACTTTTTTATCCATCTCCTTATTTTGTCCTTTATAAATACCTCAGCAATTAACACCTTTGAGTTCATAACCTTTGAAAGTTTGAATTATTTCCTTAAAATAAATTCCTGGGAATACTAAGTTTGGTCAAAGGACATGAATATTTTGAGGTTTTAATTACTGACAAAATTTTTTCCAAAAGATTTGTAATGCATTTTACAAATCATCAGCAATGAATGAGAGTATATGTTTCTTTACTAAATTAACAGGCAATATTTGGTATGTCACTGTTTTAAATGTGCATTTAATTATCACTGGGGCTGAAATCTATCTCATCAATTAGATATATTTCTCTTTGTGAACTGTTAATTCATGTTTGTCTTTATTATAGCATAATTGCTCTTCTTACCACTTTGAATAAATTCTCTATTTACAGTGTCCGATACAGTAGTCATTAGCAACATTAGGCTATTAAAATGAATTAAAATTTTAGTTTACCAGTTACATAAGTTACATTTTGAGTGTCTAACAGTCATGTGGGGCTAGTGATCGCTGTATTGGACAATGCATATTCAGAACATTTTCATTATAACAGAAAGTTCTATTGATCTGTATAATAAGATGTCACACTGCAAAGTTAATTTAATAGTTGTATGAAAGTTTCAGATACTAAATTCAAATTACTGCTATGGTGAAGGAAAATTACTACAGGACATACATCTAGTTACATAATCCAGTTCAGACAAGAAGGTTAACCTCCTTGTAGAATCTTCATAAAAGAAAGTCAAGTTTCTCTTTAGAGGTATAAAGCTACTCCTTTAAGAGATCATTATTAAGGTTTCAATATGTCACAGTTAGTCAACTGCATAATTTTATACCTAGAAGTTGCAGGTAAAGTTTTGTTAAAGGTATGCAGGAAGCTTACAGGCAGAACAAATAATATAAATTACACTTAAAGTTATTGCACTAAGCAGTTATAAAGCACATTTCCCAATTCTTTTTAACATCAATCTACTATTTATTCCAAGAATTCTATCCTTAGGAATAGAAAAAAAGGGAGGAGGGGCAGAAGAGTCTGAAAAGAGGTTTAGTGATTAAGAGAATGGACTCTAGAGTCAGAATGTCCAAGTTCAAATCCAGGTCTGTTTCTCATTACCTATGTGATCCTGGAGAAATTTACTTAACTTCCCTCTGCCTCTGTATAAAAGGGATAATATAGGACTGTTGAGAAGATTAAACGAATTATTTAAAAACCACCAGGCACAGAGTAAGCTCTCATAAGTGTTAAATATTTTACTGAGGCTACTCTTACATATTGACATTATTTCTCTAAATTAAATGTAGGGTGAACTCTAATGTATAATCATCTCTGTAGTTAAAAAATATTTAAGATAAAAGAGTAAAAATTAAGGGAAACAGTAAAAGTTTAAAAAATTATTGAACATAATATATTTACATGGCACTTTAAGAATTTTTCTTAACAGCTCTTTCATATATTTCATGTTGAACTACAAAAAAAAAACCAGTTTAAGTATTATTTTAGTTTTAAGAGAATTGAATACAGCTCTTAGAGTTAAAATTAAATAGCAGGGTCTGACCTACAATTCACATGTACTTGAGTGATCTTTTCATCGTAACAAACAATACATAAATTAGAAATGTTGCTGAAAATCTGATCAAATTTAGAATGGTTGGTAACTTACTATGTGAAATTATTGAGAAATATAAGAATAAGAAATCTCAATGTATACATCTTCAAAGCTAATAAATGGCTGCTACAGGAAGGGAACAAAGGTATTTTGAAAATGGGTTTGACTAACACAATGATCAAAACTCAAGAGAATAATAAAAGGGAGAGAGGCAATGATCAAACAGAGATGGGAGACTCTCAGAGGAATGGGAGACACTGCTAGATAAAGCATTACAGCACAAATCAAATTAAATCTTATATGAACAACAGCATCTACACCCCAATTTAAAAAATCTTTATACGAACAAACTGGTATTATGATGTGACTAGTTATGACATAACACTCAATGACAGAAAATATAATTTACAAGAGCCTGCCATACAGTATTCACTTTAATATACATTTGTTAAATAAATAAGTTACCAAAACGCCAAGATTAGTCCAAGAAGTAAGGGACAATAAAGGGTCTACCTTGTCAATAATGGACTGCATATGAGATTTGTGAGACTGGTCTCCATAAAGCAAAGAGGACCATTGGTCTGGTGCAATCCGTAAGCCTGCTTCCATCGCAATCTGCACTATTTGGGAGTCATGTTCTCGCCGCAGAGCTTCGTAGGTTCTAAATTCTTCTTTCAACTGCATCAAAGAAGAGTCTTCATCACGTTTGGTGACCTGATAAGGCACACATAATTTCATGAGTCAGGTAAGAAATAAACTAGGCTTGTACTTTATATGACCACATATAGATTAGAAAATACTCCGAACAAAGAAAATACTCATACAATTATTCTGAGAAATAATGTATGTTTCTTCTCCGTATCTGTGGGTTATCACTCTTGGGCTTGCCTGGAATTGAGCTAGCTGGTACTCATAACTGAAAGAGCTTCAATGCTGGTATGATTCTAAAGATGACTAATTTGCACTTGGTTTAATTCTCCATGAAGTTGAGTAGATTAGGTCACCATCAGAAAGTGCAAATCTAAAATGCTGGACTACAAAAATCATAATGAAGAGCATAATAATACTTTTTATTAATAAAAACAACTGACACGTATGAATACACAGTGTGTGCCAGTGAGTATGTTAAGTTATCTTAAGTGTTATGTTAACATGTGAACTAATTTAATTCTTTAAATTTGTTGAGGAAAGTACTACTCGTATCACCCCTAACAATTCACATTTAGAGTCAAGCTGGATTTATGCCAAAAGCTTAATAAATCAAAGTAAAATAATTATTCTAATCTAGGATTACATCCTAACATATTTTAGAACATACTTTGCCTTGTAAATCTTTTATTCCCATAAAGATTCAAATACCTCTAGTAGAAAATTTCCATTTTTTCCCCACCCATCAAAGAAACTATAGGCTATTTTAGTCAGGACATCTAGGTCATACTTACATTATATTTTTTAATGTATTCCATTCTTATTAGAAGAAGATCTAACTTAAATTTTGTTAGGTAAATCCACAGAGAGATCAAATAGATTTTAAAAAATCAATGACTATAGTCACAAAAACTAAATATATCTTGTCCCTATTCAAAGGCAAATTTAAAAGGCCAAATGTATGTACATATGTATGAAAACACTCTCTCAATATAGGCTAAACCTCACTAAAATGTAGAACATGCTTTCTATATGATGTACTGATTCCCAGGGCTTGGCTCTTTAACTAAAAACACTCAGAGTTACAAGATATGCAATGTCTGAAGTCTTGGAACTGTACTGTACTAAGAATGACCAGAATTATCCTGCAGCCTGAAAAGGCTTTTCCAATGGAAATAAAAGAGATGCTATAAATACACAGCTAAAACACAGCAATGTGGATACAAATGCCTACTAGGAAGAATGGACAATGCAGTTGGAGCCGAGTTCCATGAAGAAGATGAAACGGGTATTGGTAGACACTTAACAGAAACTCTGCCATAGTGAATAAAGTTTAATAAAATTTAGGGTATGGACCCATTGTGATAAGAGAAGATAAATCTTTTCATAATTGAGAGTGTGGTACGAACTACCTCCAAGAGAAGAAAGTAGGTGGACAATGAAATAAAAGGAAATAATCATGACCCAAGTGAAAAATAACTGGAGTTTTACATATTCTAATCTTTTAAAAATTATTATTAGTGCTTTTAATTAGGATTGAGAGAGGTTCACTTTGGGTATTCTGGGGTTTTTGACTCCCTTATTATTCTTCCAGAGGAAAGGCTGGATTTTTTTATTTTTTATTTTTTAAGCTTCCTATATTGTATCTATCTGGTCCGGTTAATGGGGAAGTAACACTGGAAGCAAATGGACATTCTGAAGTGTATCCCAGATCACACTGTACAATAATGTTATTACAATCACTGTGACGAAAGTAAGTTATTCAGGGACAATCTCTGGACTAGTTGGGGTTGTTTTGGCTAGAGGTTCTGAGAAGTCCCTAAGAAAAACAAAAGGGGTGAGTATAGACTGGAGTCCACATCCCATTTTCTGTATATAATCTGACTCTAGAAAGAAACAGAATTAATATTGGCATTTAGCTAGAGCTTTAAAGAAAATTTAAGCTAAATCTGTATGTGCTGTTGACCTGGTGGCCCATTTTAACCTTCTCAAAAAATGAGAGAATAGAATATAGTAGGATGGCTAATGTGGGAGTTGTTTTGTTTTGTTTTGTTCTTGTTTTTTAAGCTTGAGTGTCAGATGAGGGAATGTGGTGACTTCCTTACAGCTTGTATGAATTAACAATTTTTTAGAGATATGCTTCCCTGGCCCAAGAAGTACCTTTACATATCATGTCAAAAGCAAGAAGCCTTGACATTTAGAAGTCAGGAAAATAGGATGAACAATAAATGAAATATAGTGGGCACCAATGTTTGAAAGAGTGTTGATTTGATTCAAGATGCATTACTATATATTGAAATGGCAAATGGAGCTTCAGTACTTTATATGTGGAATTACATCAGGAACAAAGAGTGAAATAAAACACTCCTGCCTCAATGACTCTCTCTTTAGATCAATTCTGTTCATAGTCTTGGTGGAAAACTGACGTGGCTTAATAGTCTCTTCAAACAAAAATCTGTAAGCCTTGATTTGATCTATCCTATTGAATATCTAATACACAAAATCCAACACTACAAGATTTAATAGGACATCATCTACGTTCTTTAAAAGAATAAAGAAAAATTGTTAAAATTTTCTGAAAAGATACAGGCAACTTTACTAAACTCAAAGTTTTACTACTTAAGTTTGGGGAAAGGATGCTTTCTTTTAAGCTGAAATTTAACGTAGGTTCATACCTTGAAGCAAGAGGCTCTATAAAGGAGCTGGACAACATGCCCAATGCTAGTTTTAGAGGCTTGAGGAAACCGTGGCTCCAACCTTTGTACCACAAAGAGAACCAATACTTTTCTTGACAAAGCAGAACCATCTTCCAAGGCCAGGAGAACCAGCTTTAGAGCTTCCTCCTGCATTGCTAGGAAAAGTTGAGCAAAACCAAAACTTAACATGTACAGAGGTAAGACAAACCTGTTTCTTAGAAGGGCAATATTCAATAATTTCTGCGGGTACCACTTAATTAATTGGCAACACAACAACAGACATTCACAGTTACACTTTTTAACCCTTCTGGGACAATTTTGTATTACATTACATTCTGTATATTTAAGAAAGTCAATAAAAGATTAATATATTTCAGGAAAACTTCAATCAAAATGAACAAACTTTGGCATTAAGAGAAAAGATTTCACAACATTGTAAAATGACTATAACTCAATTAAAAAAATGTAAAAAAAGAAAAAAGAGAAAAAAGCTTTAAGTGTTCTGAAAAACTGACATGAAATTAATTACCCAAGCCATGATTGTCAAGTAAGATATTACTTGATAACAGAATATTGCAAAGAACTAGCCTTTGTACATCACTTACAGTTCTTACACAGTAAGTTTAGAATTACTAATATTATAAATATCAAACTTTAATTATATACCTGGTCCAAGGAACTGGCAGCCCCTAGCCCTGACTGCTGCCCAAAGATTGGAAGAGAGTTGCTGAGGATTCTGGTGCTGGAGAATGAGCTCTGTAACTGTTCGTTCACCTAAAGATCGAGCTGCCCTCATGGCACGAATCCTGCCTTCTTCTTCCACCAGTTGGCAGTGGACCAGAGTCACCAGCTTCCTCTGCATCGGGCGACTCAGAACACTCTGAGTAGTGCTATTCAGACCCACTCCTTTAAAGAGAATAAAAAGTTATTTATAGGTTTACAATGCAATTTTAGAGTCCAGGAAAATTTTCTCTGATGGGCTGACTGACTTACAAATATGTGAATAGTTTGGGGTTCTACCAGAATACTTACACAATAAATAAAATTACACAAGTGGAGCCTAGCTTGCATTTTAAAAGTATACAAAAGCTATTAACTCAAGCAAATATAACACTCATTATGACATTAAATTACCATTATTCATTCTAATCACAGAGGAATAAAGAAAATAAGGCCAGACAACATTAATAATTAGTTAAAATCCCAAATCTTGAGGTCCTAACAGGTCTCACATATTATTTCATAGTGGTTAATCTTACTTTCCTAATGAAAAAATTAGCTGTAATGGCAAGGCAACAATGGCAACTTCCAATTTTGTTACATCTCCAACAGCATACCACAGAAAACTGGATAGAAGGCAGACAACTGAAAGTTGTCAAATGATAGATAGCCCTTCTAAAACCACCAGTGTATTTATATGTACTTAAAAAAAATTTTTTTTTAATTGGAAATACAGTCAGTTACAATGTGTCAATTTCTGGTATACAGCACAATGTCCCAGTCATGCATATATTTGTTTTCATATTCTTTTTCATTAAAGGTTGTTACAAGATAGTGAATACAGTTCCATGTGCTATAGAGAAGAAATTTGTTTTTTAAAATCTATCTTTATATATAGTGGCTAACATTTGCAAATCTCAAACTTAAATTTAACCCTTCCCACCCCCTTCCCCCTTGTAACCATAAAACTGTTTACTATGTCTGCGAGTCTGTTTCTGTTTTGCAGATGAGTTCACAGTGTCCTCTTTTTTCTTTTTTTTTAAGATTCCACATATGAGTGATATCATATGGTATTTTTCTTTCTCTTTAGGCTTACTTCACTTAGAACAACGATCTCTAGGTCTCTCCTGTTGCTGCAAATGGCATGGTTTTATTCTTTTTATGGCTGAGTAGTATTTCATTATAGAAATAAACCACAACTTCTTTATCCAGTCATTCAAATACTGTTTCCAACATCACATAAACTTTAAACTTACTACTTTATTTGATGTAGCTTGTAATGGTATTATTTAACATCAGTGGGTTTGGTTTACACTAAATAAATTTTGTTAACATTTACTTATAGCCCACAGTTTTTATGAGAACAAAAGCACCTTTAATAAACATTTGCTTAGCATGGATAATTTCATCCAATTTACCTCTAGCACTGCTGAGTGGTTTCAGGTACAGTGCTAATTCTTCTACACATTTCCTGGCTTCCTCATAATGCTTTGTATCTTCAACTCCACTACACAAAGTAATGGGCTGCTGCTCAGGGACCTAGAGGTCAAAAAAAAAAAAAAAAGTGTTTTGAGTGCTCACTAATTAAAATCAAATATTTTACTGAGTATATTTTATGCATTCCTACTGAATATATTTTATACACCGGTAACATGAAAACTACTAAATTTACTGAATTATTTCAAAAGATCTTTTCTATACATATGCACAAAATTATTACATAAAAAATTTTGTTTCTGTAACAGTTTTATTGATATAATTTGCATAACATCTAACTGACTCACTTAAGGTATATAATTCAATGACTTTTGGTATATTCACAGTTATGCAGCTCTCAATATTTTAGAACATTTTCATCACCCCCCAAAAGAACCTCATACTCTTTTAATGTCACCCCTGCCATATTTCCTCCCAAACCCCCACCAGCCCCAGGAAAAAACTAACATAGCTTCTATCTCTGTAGATTTGTCTGTTTTGGACATCTCATGCAAACGGAACCATACAACTTCCAAAGTGACTGTGCCATTTTATATTCTTATCAGCAATAAATGAGAGTCTTTGTTGCTTCATATCAGCACCAGCACTCGGTGTTATCAGGATTTGAGCTATTCAAACTGGTGTGTAGTGATATCTCATTATTGCTGTTTTCACAATTTTTAAAGGTTATATTCCATTTATAGTTATTATATTATGTTGGCTATATTCCATGTTGTACAATATACCCTTGTAGCTTACTTTATACATAGCAGTTTGTACCTCTGATTGATTGTTTTAATTTGCAATTCCCTAATGGCAAATGATGCTGAGCAACTTTTTATTTGCTCATTTGCCATCAGTATATCTTCTTTGGTGAGGTGTTCAGATCTTTGCCCATTTAAAAATTATGTTTCCTTTTATAAGTGACTTGTAAGATTTCCTGATACATTCTAGATACAAGTTTCTTATCAGATACATGATTTACAATTGTTTCCTCATATTCTGTGGGTTGTTCTTTCACTCTCTTGACAGTCTTTTGAAGCACTAAGTTTTAAATTTTGATTTAGCTCAACTTATCTTTTTTTCCTTGTGTTTTTGATGTCATATCTAAAAAACCTCACTCCTATTCCAAGGTCACAAGTTTTATGCTTATATTTTCTTCTAACAGTATTGTGGTCTTAGCTCTTAAACATACAGTCTTTGTTCTATTTTGAGTTAATTTTTGTATACTATGTGAGGAAGGGGTCCAAATTCATTCTTTTGCATATGGATATCCAGTTTCCCCAGGAACATTAGTTGGAAAGACTGCCCTCTCCCCACTGAATGGTCTCAGCAAGTCATCTGATCATAAATGTAGGTTTATTTACGGACTGTCTATTCTAGTCCATTGATCTAAATGTCAGTCTTTATGCCAGCATACCAGTTTTGATCACTGCAGCTTTGCAGTTTCTAAATCAGGAAGCATGGTTCTTCCAACATTATTATTCTTTTTCAAGACTGTTTTGGCTATATGGGGTTTCTTGTGAGTCCATATAAATTTTAGAATAGGTTTATCCTATTTTTGAAAAAAAAATCACTAGAATTTTGAAAAAGCTTGCATTGAATCTATTGTTTTGAATAGTAGTATAATCTTAATAATATTAAGTTGGCCAATCCATGAACATGTGATGTCTTTTCATTTATTTATGTATCCTTTAATTTCTTTCTGCAATGTTTTGAGGTTTTCAGTATACAAGGTCTTTCCCATCCTTCACTAAATTTATTCCTAAGTATTTTATTCTTTTTGATGCTGTGCTAAGTGGACTTGTTTTCTTAATTTCCTTTTGGATTATTAATTGTTAGTGTACAGAAATGCAATTGATTTTTGCATGTTAATTTTGTATCTTGTACCTTGCTAATTCATTTATTAGCTCTGATAGCTTTTTAATAGAAGTCTTTAGGGTTAAAGTAATGGCCACTAAGTATTAAAATGTCCTATTCTCAAATTTTGTAAACATTAGTTGTTGCAGTTAAGAGATGGCAGGGTCTTACTCAATTCTGCAGAAAAAGAATTAGTTCATCTTCACATAACTTTGTGGAAAAAAGTTAAGTCTTGGTTATTTGTTATTAAAATATTGTATCTCTAAAACTGTTATCTCCAATAAGTCTATTTTTAAAACATTTCCAAAATATTTTGGAATCCATATGGGAATTTTCAAAATACAAATTGAAATGATTATGAAATGAAAAATTAAGTATATAAGAAAAAAAGAATCAATTGTACTTTCCTTTTGACAAATATATTGTAGTGCTGTTGGCAACTTCATCAAGTCGGATTTGTAAATAAGTTTTCCTTTTGAATAAGCTGTTCTAGAACTGCTCTCTTTATCTCCAACATACATAATATCAACCTACCCTGCTTTTTATCAACTTACAGGCAGATCAATCTAGCAAATATTAGTAGGGCCAGATCCAAAGTTTTAGGACATTTAATCAGAAAATGATATATGGGAAACATGTGATAATTTTAGACTCACACTACACAAATTAATTTAAGTGACAGATTATTTAGGTGAATCATATCTAGCTCTCAAAAGCCTGCCTCCCTTGGCTTTGTGAAACCTTCTAAAGATATTTGTAAACACTGACACAAAACTTTCAGAACATTACCTTCAGAATTCCCAGACTAACCTACCAGGGATATTTTCTCCTACTCTAGATTAATGGCTCCAAAGGCTGTCTTCTATAGTTTTTGTTACTTTCTTCATCTTTCATTTCAGTTAGTGCCTACTAAGTAAAATTGTCTGAAGCAGCTTCACTTTTCCTATTAAGTAAAATGCAATAGTTTTGTGAATATTTTCCTCAACATTAAGAAGACTTTGTGACTTACCTCATAGGTTTCTGTCATTATCTGAATAGCTAAGGTTGTTGACAAAGTCTGAGAACCAGACTGAATGAATGTTACTTTACAATGACTGAGAAATACTGCAGTACCACAATAAATCTCCTAACATAATGAAAGATACGCACAGTATTGAACAGAATTTTATCTATTTAAATAGAAGGCAATATTACTCAATTTTAACTCGACGTGTTTCTCTCAGGAGGGAAGAACACACACACACACAGAATAAGTATAGTACGTTACCCATCCTACCTGAGCACCCACTAGCTGCAGCAATGCTGAGTTTACCGGGAGGAGTTCAATGTCTGTGTTGATAGTGGTCTGGTCAAACGGGCAAGCCTTGCGGTGGAGTTTATTCAGGCACATCTTGCAGACAGTATGGCCACAACCCAAACTGATGGGCTTTCGAATTGTTTCGTCGAAAGTCTGAGTGCAAATTGGACAGGAGAGGAAATCCGTCCACTGTGGAGCTTGTACAGGCATTGCTTCTGTAGTTACAATTCACTAACACACACACACACAAAATCTAAAGCAAAGATTCCACTGGAATCAAAATCTTTGAAAAAAGTTTATCTTTTTTTTTTTTTAATATCTTCTGTAAATAGTCAGCACATAGTGTGAAATATAACCTGGAAAACAAAGAAAAAAAAAATGAGTATCTTCCTTTTCAATTAAACTGTGCATTTTCACTCTACTATCTATAACCTTTTATACCATATTTATATCACCACAGCATACCTTTTTGCACTTTTACAAAATTGGAGCCATAATAAAACATCTAGTCTCATCCCCGCATTTTAGAGATGGGGAGTAGACCCCAGAAAGAGGAAATAATTTGCCAAAGGTGGTAAGTTAGTAATAAAGTTAGATCTAAGTCTCAAGTTTATCTAAGTCCACGATTGCATCCTACTTAAAAATTAGCCTTTTTAAGGCAGCCTATAATATTCTGATCTGTGCAAATTAATCTGTTCAACTGTGAAAATGTATCAAGCTCTATACTTACGATGTATACATTTCAGTGTATGTCATATCTTAATAAAGAATTTTTTTTAATTGGCCTAAAATTAAAACTACCTTAAAGTTACTTTATCATCAAATTCGGTATGGGTAATGAGATTAAAAGCTACTGCAGGTTTATTTTTAAGAGTTTTATTTACTGATAAAGACCTATAAACCTCTGTTATGGCTTATACTTATTGCTGTAGTGTGCTGTGTTAGAACACAGTTAAAATTATTTACATCGAAAGATTTTTTTAACTCCAAAATTTAAGAATGATAGAACAATCACAGCTAACCAGAACCATATTTCACTGTCTTCTCTCTTATTTTTGGTGGGGGATTAAAAACCAAATCACAAAACCCATCACCTGTATCTAATATAAATTTTCATTACATATAAGAGCTAACCTAAAATTTCTAGTGTGTATCTTAAACAATACCTGTTGTACTTAATCTAGCTGTAGCTTCTAAAAATGAGAACCAATGCACAGAACAGTAAAGTAACACAGTATTAGAAGTTCTTAAAGATTTGATTATGCCCAGTACAGACTGCTTACAAAGATTAAAAAAGAAAACTTCATTTAAGCTGTAATTAACTAGAAAAGTAAATTATCTACACACCTTATTTTTCAAGCATTATGTTTAATTCATGTTTTACTAAACTAACTCAACCTTAAATGCAAACCCATTATTGACGAAAGAACACCTTCCATTAGGTATGTTAAAAATTTTATCCATTCATTCAACGAATATTTACTAAGCACTACTATGTGACAGACTGAATTGTTAGGGAAAGAGTGAAACAGCACATAGTATCTACCTTCTGAGCAACCTCAGCTTTGACTGGGTTTCTGCAAAGTGTATCAGACAAATGGGCAATGAAAAAAATTTAAGAGCTTACACAATTATCAAGTTAATTTCATATTTATGATCTAAAAATTATCTGCACGTTCAAATAGCCCCTGAAATAACAAGAAAGAGTAAAGAAAGAAATAGTCCACATTTGGGGTGTGGGGGACATAGCTCAGTGGTAGGGCCTGTGCTTGGCATGCATGAGGTCCTAGGTTCAATTCCCAGTGCCTTGTTAAGGGGGGGAATAAAGAGAAACTGTCCACATTCTGATTTCTATACTGTTTTAATTATAAATTTTATTAAAATGCACCTGTAAATAGAACGAGTAGTTACAAGTATGTTTATATTAAATTATGACTACTTAATAAAATGAGATTATCATCCAGAGTGCAAAAAAAGAAAACACAGTATGTAATAATCAGAGTCAAATGCTACAACTGTGTCTGGGGTTACAGAATGCTCCAAAATAAAGAATAAAAAACTAAGTGTTTAGAAGACATAATATTCAGAATGAGAACTGGATATTAATTAGAAAATGTCTGCTGATGCTGATTAAGTTGATAAAGTATCATCCATACAAACTTTTCTATAGATTAGCATAGCAGTTTATATTAATGCCTACAAAGCATCTGATTTTGTGTTAATCTCTGTAAAGTAGAACTAATGGTTTCTTGTTTTTTTTACTAGTATGGTCTTGCAGAGAATTTATAATTTGTTCATTAATCATGAAGTATAGTCAAAACAGCACTTATTCCCTCAAACACTATAAACTACAGAAACCCAAAAGAGCACAAAATATAAATGTTTCACTGCACAATCACTGTAACTTTTACTATTTATACAGCTATGTGCCACATGTTGTGCTAAATGCTTTACACAGAGCAAAACTGTAATAGGCAGGTAAGCACTGTTATCCCATTTTACAGATACAGTTGACCCTTGAACAACACAAGTTTTAATAGCTAGGGTCCACGCATACAAGGATTTTTTTTTCAACAGTAAATACTACAGTACTACACAATCTAGGTTGGCTGAATCCTCCAGTGCAGAACTGCAGATGAGGAGGAACTATGTGCCTAAGGGCTGACTATAAGTTATACACACACACACACACACACACACACACACACACACACACACAAACTGCGTGAAGGGTCAGCATCCCTAACCCGTTGCTCAACTGTCAGGTGTATGAGAAATGGAGATTTAGTGAGGCTAAATAAGCTAAAAACAAATAGAGCTGTGGTATTAACCCAGACATTCTGGCTCAAAATCCAAACTCTTAACCAAATCACCACTCATAGATTAAAAGTTGATTATAAAGAAGGAAGAATTACTTGCAGTTTCATTCAAACATCAACTATACTTCATTTTTTTAAAAAAGAAAGAAAAATCAATGTCACAAAGCTGCTAATAGCGATGGTCAATAATTCTTCTCTGGCAAACTTGCCGACAAATGTAATAATGGTCAGGTCATTGTTCTAAACTTACTTGTCTTCTCGACAAGCTATGAAAGAGATGACTATCTTCTCCTTCTTGAAAGTGTCGATGAACCACACTCCCCTTATCCTTCCCCAACTTGCTGGCTTATTGCTTTGATCTCTTAAAATCCTAAATGCTGGAGTGAGTCATCAGAGCTCTAGAGTTTCTTTTTCTCATCATTCTCCAGTTCAATAACCTGAAATCACTCTCTATTACATTAAGAATAAAATCTGCATTTTGTACTTCGGTTTACAAAGCCCAAAATGATAAGACCTGTAATTATCTCTCCAACTTCAGTTCCTAACACTTGTCCTCATTACCCCAACATCCTCCAGCTACTCAAGAGAAGCTTGTTCTCATCTTCAGATAAACTTAGGATAGCTATTCTGTCTAACCTTTGAATTGAAGGCCACTCTTTATCACTTAGATGCCATCAAGAATGTCAACTCCTCAGAACTCCCGGACCAGCTGAGACTCTAAAAGAACCTCTAACTCCTCTCTAGTCCATCAGTATATTTAAATTCTCTATAAAACATTTCTACCATCTGTAAGTTGTACTTTCTTTCTTATATCTTTGTTTACTCAGTGCATATCTTTATTAAAATGTAGACTCCATGAGAGCAAACGCCTAATCTGCCTTGTTCACTGTTAAAGCTACAGCTCGCTTCTCACTAGAACTCAGGCCCAGTAAACATTTTGCATATAATTTCAAAGAGTTCAGAGACCTGTGAAAATCTATTCATAATCTCTAGGGTATTTAAAGAGTCCAGATTAAGAAACTCTAATCTTTATTATTCTTTCACCAATCTTTAAATTGCAGCAACTATTTGAGTACATGTCCAACCCCGTAGAAAACAGAAAACACGGTCAAACACAGACTTAAAATACCTCACTGCTCTCCCACATGATTTCAGATCAGTGCTGCTAATAACAAATTTCCCAAATTATTCTGTTGTATCAAGAATTGTGTAAACAGAATCATAAGAGAAATGACTGATAAAATATACCTTAGAGAACATCTAGTTCTAGACTAATTTTTCAAGATGAGATAATCTGATTTATTTATACCCTGATTCATGTGTTATTAGGCTTTCAAACACCTCTTTTTATTTGATTTCCAAAACCCAAAGAAGTTGGAATTACTTTCCTTCTCATAGAGAAATAAAAAAGCATTCAGAGAACTTGTCCAAGGTCACACAGGTAGTAAATGACAAAGTCAAGACACATAAACCTCAGGCAGGCACATGACACTACAGCCTACGCACTTTCCACTATACCAATTTGACATGGGGGAGACGAAAGACAAAAGACAAATAAAATAGCTTCACTTAAAGTCATGAAGCCATCCAGGATTAGAAACCAAGCTTCCTGACTCCTAGTTTTAGTGTCCCCTGCTTCCCAACTGTATTACCTTGGACATAAACCCTTCATTGAACCTCTAAAAGATTTTAAAAATATCACTCTATATTAAAGCTACAGTTAACAATATTTGGCATAGATCAAGGCATCCATTAACCTTGGAAATAATATGTAATATTGTTTATATATAACATGCTCATTCTTCTAGGAATAAAATCCATGACTTCTATCAGATTCTCAAAGAAGGTTCTGTTTGGAGAGGGAGGGGAAGGGAAATAAGAATCAATGACTCAAATATATTGAAATAAAACAACTGCTGAAAACATGAGACTATAGAAAAATGAAAACACCAATTTAAATGAACACATATTTCCTCTATATTTACAACACAATCTCATCAGACTAATGCTTATAACAAATCTTAAGTAATATAAAAATTTTAAAGTAATATATGATCACATAGATCAAACATTTTTAAAAATGATTACAGTGAAGTGTCATCCTCCCACCTCTCCCATCTCTCTAGCTCTCATTCCTACTTCATCTCCTCAGATGAACACTTTCCTTTTTTATCCAAATAGGTTGATATATAAATACATATTAAATATTAAAAGTATCTTTAAAAAGTTCTACATGTTAGTCTTGGTATTAATGAATATAAATCGATGGAAGAAAAAGGTCTGGAAAAATACTGAACAAACTTAACAGCAGTTACATAACTGGGCAACTTACAAAATGTACATAATTATTTGTTACTTATACAAGTGCAAAATATTTGAAAAAATGAAAACAAGAGAAGATAAATAAATTAATATTAAGACTATTCAAAACATTCTTCCTTATTAAATTGACCTTCTTTTACACATTTGGATAGCCAAACCATGAAAATTTATTAGTTCTTTTCAAAATTCATTAAAAATCATTTTAATAACTTCTC